TCTTTGTCCCTCCCGGTTAAATCTCTAATTTTCATTCTTCTCTCTCTCTCTCTCTGGGGTGTGTCTTACCCTGATAATGCGTTGTTTTACGACGACATGATTTGATTTGAGTGAATGAGTGAAGGTCATTCTGACCTTGGACTTTTGTGTGAGACAAGAATTGTTGGTGTGTGAGTCTTGTAGTGGACAGCATTTTCAGTCCCACCTTGTTAGGAATATTCTAGTAGATTTTGGAGTATTTCTTATAACTGAATTTTCGCTAACTAATTTTGTTCTACAGTAGTTGTTTCTGACTAGAAACTTATCTAGCCTCTTCAGCTGTCTGACGCACCGTTGATATAATTTTTGCTCTTTGATGTTGTTATTGTTGAAACGAACCACATAGACCTATCTGTTTTGGAGTATTTTGTGGCTGTGCGTCTCTCTGGGAAGTTTCCTACACCTATACAGTAGGACGCGTTTCAGCCACAACGCATTGATATTCAAGTGAATATCAATGAGATGCTCACTAGCGACTTGCCCTATTCAGGTAAGTAGTTACCTGGGGTTCTAGTGAGAAATCGTGACCAGTAGGGTGCAGAAGGTCGGGTGTGAGAAGAAATACTCGCCGGAGACATTGTCTAGGGGTCACGCTATGTCGTGAATTGGTAGAAGTTGGAATTCATGGACGGGCCATTGAATCGGGTCCCAGTGGCTTAGTGGTCTACGAGCTCGCCTTGTAAACAGAAAGTCCTACGCTTGAATCCCGGTGGGTGCGTACTGCTGAAGAGTCTTAAACTAGGACGAAACAGCTGTCCAGTATTCCCTGCAGGTTTTCCAGTGGTTCTCTAACCAATTTCAGCTCATGATGAAATCTCACAACGCATTGGTTTTCATCGTTACAGTACGCTTCATAACTTCAGTTAGTTTCAATGCTCGGATAGCACATTTTTAATATTTTAACAATAATATACCAACTTTATGCGCCCTGGCATATACTACTGATTTTTTTATCAGTAGTTGACAACCATTTAAGTCAACCTGACCAAAAGGATTTATACACCGAAACAGTCATTTCACTCGTTTGGAAGTAAGCTTGGGACCAGTGATGTCCCCTTGGTGAATCAACTCGGAGAGCTGAATTATAGTAGAAGAACTAATGATATGTAGAATCAGATTTTTCATTAGCCTGTTTAAGCAGTTCCGTTCTGTTCGATGGTGACTAGCGGTGGGACCCAATAATGCCTGTTTCATTCTATTTGAATCTCATCAACTGGATACACATCCATCATTCCCGGGGAATAATTAATGGTTAATCCACTAAGTCTTAAACCCAACAGACATTATTTGAAATGCCAAACCGTTATCTACTAGTTCAGTTGGTTATGAGAACCAGTTCTTGTATAACTGTTTTCACTGGCTTTTATTGAAACTATTTTTCCGAAACATTCAGTGTCTGTTAACATATGACCTCCTAATAAAGATGTTTTGAGAATGCATTTAAAGCAATTAGTCCTTTTTATAAATTTGGATAGCGTTATTAGAAGACGGAGATTTTCTGAAAAACAATGTGATGTATTTGCGCCATGCATTTCGAACAATCTGATCACACATTTACTTGTCAAGTAGATATATATGAAAAAGTTAAATTAAACAAAGTAACCTAAAAGAGTTTTAAATGATTAACACAACATTTGGTAATCCAATTAAATAAGGATTACCAAGGTAGGTTAAGAGTAATAATAAACTGCTTATGCACATCCGGGGTGGGGGAGGCTTAAGTTTATGAATAGCTATAGCCTCAGCGTATTTCAGTAAGCGCCCCGTGACCGTTTTTATTGATGACCATAAAGGCTGAGTTAACACCAATCTTATGGTTCATCTCGATTAGATGTTTAGCTATAGACGAAGTTGGTAATCTGACTGACACCTGCATCTATTTTGGGATATGCTCTCCCACCCTCACGTGCAAAGCGCGATTACTCCTCCCTATGTATGTATGTCCACACACACACACGAAAATTGGTAAATTGTATGGGATGTGACATAATCACTTGTTCACTTTTGGGGTTTACAGTGAAGCATATTTTTAGCTTTTTCCACAATTAGTAGTAGGTTCCACCGATGATCGAATTCAACCTTTCTCGCGAAATCCTACTGTTTATTTCCCCGTTATATGGTAATTTAATGAAAACATTTTTCTTAGGTGCAGTATATTTTGTAGGTTAAGAGAATAATTGACTTCTACACCTGTTTAAAATTTTTAAAGGATATCCGTTTTCAACAAGAGTATCCATCAATTTTTCGTTTTCTTGGTCTATAACATCAGCCGTACAAATACGTTGATTCCTCTCGAATAGACATTTCACCAAGCCTCTCTTATACTGTAATGGACAGAAACTGTGAAAATTAAGGTACTGCCCAGTCCAAGTCGGCTTTCTGTAGATTGATCGCCTTATTGAACCGTCATCTCTTAGACTCAGAAGTACATCTAAAAATGCAAGCTGGTTGTGACATTTTTTTCTTCGCATGTAAGACTACTATGATTCTGTATAGAGTTAAGTCTGTCTAATAGATGACTCGCATCTTCATGATCGTCGCATATCAAAATGATATCATCTCTTATAGAGGGGGAATTTTGAAATTAAATCAAGAGACAATTTCTCAACATAAGACATGTAAACGTCTGCTAACAAAGGTCCTAATGGACTGCCAATAGCAACGCTATCCACTTGTCAAAAATGCATTTAGGTTAATATGATGGGTTCCTAATCGGATAAATCATACGGTCTAGATGTCACTGTTAGTCAGAATCAACTGCATAACATTGAGGGAACTAGATGACCGGATAACAAATAAAACGTATATAGTTGTTCTTAACTTCAATGAGATGTCTGTAGTCACATTCCTAGGCATCTAAGACAGTTTATCACAAAGATTGTTCCTTGAATTCCTGTCTACCAACATTCATGAGCTATACGTATCTTGTGACTACATTTCCAAGTATTTTGTTTTCTGTCTTCTTACAATCTACTGTGTGTAATTTACATTAACATTCAATACCCCTCAAAAAAGTACTGACACTGAGAAGAGCACTCACCTCTGGCATATTTAAATCATCAATGAAATAGAGGAGTCTATGCTGTCCTGGTGGACCATAATTCATACCAGCTTTTTTCTCTAAACTTTTATCCAACACTTCTTGTAACATTAAACTTGTTGTATAAAAATTGAATGGTATACTCTTCACAAGATATTCTTCAGATAAACTTGAAAATTTATCCTGTAGGATAACAGATTTCCCAGTTCCAGCTGAACCAACCAACATAACAGGATGTCCAGCTTCAATGAGTAGATCTAAGAAGAAACGTAATCGGACAACTTCCACTGTGGGAACTAAAGCAGCCTTTAGTAGAAAAAAAAACAAGCATATAACGTGTTTATTTAATTAATAAATTTTATCACAACTTGACATTAATTAAACAAATAATGGCCACCTTAAGAGACTTTAGCAGTAAAATGATCAAATCAAACCTCAAACAATTAGCTACCACACAGATTATCTATCGTCTTAGCCTTATTACAACTGAGCTTTGTGTGCTTTTAACTATTTATGCGTCATTCAAGTATACCTCGTTCCATAAGCTATTTGACCACCTTATATTGTTGTTTCTTATAAACTTGAGTACCACTCAACAACAGGTTTGTGTAAACATCTGTTCCCGCAAATTTAGAGTTCTCTTTTTGAAGTACTGGAAATATCAATTTCCTCTAGATTAACTCCAGCCAACTATCAATCATTAACAGTTTAGTCTGGGTATTATGTTGTTATTGCAATCCTCCCTTTTTTTAAAAGGTCCCTACTGTAGATCAACCACTCTAGAAATCCTTAATAACAGTGATAAGGCACCACTGACTAAAATAACTAACGTTCTAGGAATAATATTATTATTCCCTCGGGTTCCGAGTGGAACATACGGCTTCAATAACAAATCTCCACTTTGTTCTATTCTCTGCTGTTCTCTTTAGTTTATCTCATAATTGCATGGAGGATTTCATCGTCAGCTGACATCAGTTAGAGAACCACTGGAAAACCAATTGGGAGTACTGGGCAGCTGAAATCCTCTATGCAATTTTATAAAATCCCTACAAAACCAATACTTAAAAACTAATCTGATGCTCACTAGCAAGTGGCTCTATTCAGGCAGTTAACTTGGGGTTCTAGTGGGAAGCTGTGACCATAGGGTACAGCAGGTCGAAGATGAGGCAGTACCTCATTGAAGAAGACAGCGAAATGGTCGCGCTATGTCCTGAATCTGCAGAAGTTAGAATTCAAGATTCATTGGATCAGGCCCCAGTAGCTCAATGGTTTATGAGCTCGCCCTGTAACCAAAAGGTCCTGGCCTCCAATCTCGGTGGGTACGTACTGATGAAGAGTCCTAAACTAGGACGAAACAGCTGCCCAGTACTCCCAGTTGGTTTTCTAGTGGTTCTCTAACTGATGTCAGCTCATGATGAAATCTTCCATGCAATCAAAAAATCCATATAAAGCCAATACTTGAAAATTATCCCATAATTATCCATAATCTCTCACCTTCTCCTCCATGTCACCCTTGCTCGCACCGACCACCCACTCGTGGCTTTCTATTGGCATTCCCCTCAAGCGAAGGTCTGTATTGGGCATGATGTCACTCGATGGCCTCCTCAACGTATGCCCCATCAATCCGTCTCCATTTTCTCCTACATATTTGTTCAGTAGTCGTCTCTTCGTTGGTTTGTTGACAGAGCTTTTTTTGTCGCTAATCCTTTCTGGCCATTTGATCTTCAGCATGGAGACACCGAAGGCGGTTGTTAGTAAAAGTCTGAACTGGTCAGTTCAAAATGCTTTTCGTGACGTGTAGTGCAAGTTTCTGATCCGTAACAAAGAAGTAAATGACTTGGTATTCCTGTTGAAAATCCGATTTTAGTTTTTCTTGCTGAGTGCAGAAGAGCGATGAAGGTGCTTGTCTTGCCTTTGTGATTCCAGTTTTAACATCGGTATGAAACCTAGGTCCAAAGCTCCCTGTCGATTGCCTTCAACTATCTAATATCGATAATTCAGAGTCCATTGTAATGTTGGGGAGTCTAGAATGACGGTGACATTGCAAACTTGACTGACTATACAATTCAGTCTGCACCAAACACAGGACTAGAGACATTACACTTGCTGCCAACTAGTATCCAGTATTATGGAGATCATTGATCAGCATAAATAGCTCAGCAGCAACGTCTTTGATTGCAGTACTCACTGGGTGATACGGGTTCAAATCTGCGAAGGCACACGAGTTCCTTCGAGGTTGCAGATACGCAATGCTGATTAGTGAGTGTCAGCAAGCACCCTTCCTAGGTCCAAAGCTTCCTGCCGATCACCTCTAATCATTTAATATAAATGTTTTGATTGCCTAGAAACCTCGTTTATCCTACTGCCCTCAGTTAAAATTACACATTCTATGAGCTATTTCATAAATCAAATAACCTACTGTACTTGGTTACTGGATTTCATCATGAGCTGACGTTAGTTAGAGAACCATTGGAAAACCTGCAGGCAGTACTGGACAGCTGTTCCCTCCGTCCTAGTTTGGGACTCTTCAACAGTACGCACGCGCCACAACTGGGTTCAAACCCAGGACCTTCTGGTTACAAGGCGAGTTAGCTCGTAGACCATTAAGCCACTGGGACACAATTCAATGGCCCATGAATTCTAACTTCTGCCAATTCACGAATACTTGATTACCAATGAGATGCTCACTAGTGACTGGTCCTATTCAGGTAGGTAGTTACCTGGGGTTCCAGTGGGAAGTCGTGACCAGTAGGGTGCAGAAGGTCAGGTGTGAGGACAAATACTCGCCACGGATGACAGTGGCTAGGGGTTGCGCTATATCGTGAATTGGTAGAAGTTAGAATTCATGGACTGGCCATTGGATCAGGTCCCAGTGGTTTAATGATCTACGAGATCCCCTGCCTTGTAACTAGGAGGTCCTTGGTTCGAATCCCGGTGGGTGCGTACTAATGAAGAGTCTTAAACTAGGACGAAACAGTTGTCCAGTACTCCTAGCTGGTTTTCCAATGGCTCTCTAACCAATCTCAGCTCATGATGAAATCCTGTAACCAATCAACCAAATCCCTACAAACCAATACTTGAATAACCTACTATATTTCTTGATATTTAACTATGATTACAATCACAAATATTTTCCCTTGCAATTCACTTTATTATTTTGAATTTAATTCACCAGAAATCTCATGTGAATATCCTTGTTCAAGTTAACAACATCTGGATGGGCAAACAACTCCGTCAAGCCTGAGAATAAACACCTTTCTGACACTTACTTGTAATGGTATATCAGGATCTAGTTCACATTTTGTTAAACGTGTTGACCAACTTTCAAATTTTCGTGTTGTTAAACTCCAAAAAAAGTCGAATATAGTACCACCGGATGGAAATTTCACTTGTTTAAATTCATTCAGCCACCATTTTGAAAATTCAACACGATAATCACACAATTGATCTTTAAATAAACATCCACCAAATGACCAAACACAACAGAAGACAAATAACATTTCATAATTTTCTTTAGTAAATTCACGTGTATCTTTTGATTTACTTTGTATGTCCAATATACATTCAAGTAGATAGCATAACATTTGAATATGAGCTAAATCAGGTATCGGTGTAATACGTTTCATTCGATAACGAACAATTTCAAGGCATGGTGAAACATACTTGTCAAAACAGATTGACAGTGCAGGTCTTTCACTAATCGATAGAGTTTTCTTCATTTTCACTCGATCATCTAACCAACTGTGTACAAATCTGTAAGAAAGAAGTAACACGTGGGGGGGGGAAGAGAGGAGAAAGAACAAATGTCAAAGAGGATACATGTTACCTTCGTTAAATTTCAGTTGATATGAGTCGGCGGTTCGGTGGTAGAATGGTGGCCAACCAGGCACGTGGTCTGGGGTGCAATTCCTGGAGGGCGCCCATCTTTAACCCCCCACCCTCTAGCCAGTTGTCATCCAGACAAAGAGGGGGAGTTGGGTGTGAGGCTAGCAATCCCATACCGTAAGAAAAAACACTACTTCTAAAGCTTCAGAGCTCAAGCTTGAAAGGACCTATGTTCCACTTGGAACGTACAGGAATGCAAAAATAACTTTGATGGTCAATCCATCATAATAAGGGTTTCTTTTTGTATTTCCCATTCAATGAGTGAAAAACAAAACGATTTTGGTTTTTATTCATATTATATACTCAAATGCCCAGTTTTTTTCAAACTGTTGAAAGTAAACTTGGTTTGGACATACACAATGTTGTGGTGAGAGTAGGCTGCTAGCCAACCGGTAGACATCAATCTGCGTCAATTTCTAGGTTCCTAATATTGGCCGTGAGAAAATATGAACAAGGCTGATTCAACAACCAATCACAGCAGACTTAAACGTGGGCAAATACGATTCGCAGATAGATGGCTCCACTTTCCGAGAAACTCGAAAACAACCAATCAGAAGACTGCGTTTGTCTACTTAAATATACTATAATAATGTACATGAAATACATATAAATACGTGCTGATTTCCGTAATAAAATGATCTGTTGCCGGCCCTTGTCTTCTGTTGTTACAATGTAACACTTAATATGATGTTACTGAGATCATTCAGAAAAATTTCAAAAATCACAAAGAACGTCTCATATCATCAAAAGCATTTCACATCAAATGAAATCTAAATTATCTGAATAGGAATGATGGAGTGAAATAGAAACAACATCCCCTCCCCTCGTGAAATGACGAAATCAACACGAATGTGATAAGCAATTTCATTATGTAAACACACGCTGCTTTTATAATTTGACACAATTTTCAAATCCAACAATCTCGACTTGATTTTGCTGTATTCAACAATCGACCAATTTGACAATGCAAAAATGACCCCATGCTGAGGAACGATGATTAAGTTTAAAACAATTAGTTCCCTTTCTGAATTTAGGTAAAGCAATAAGAAAACGTTATTTGTCTGAATCGTGTAATGTATTTGCACAACACATTTCAAACAATCTGATCACACATGGACTTGTCATAGGAACTGATGTCAGCTCATGATTAAATCCTCCATGCAATCAAACAAAATCCCTACAAAAACCACTACTTGAAAATAGGAATATATATCAAATTAATAAAGAGTTAAGAGGTGAGAAAATAGACGAGTTAGGGCAAGTTGAAAGGACATATTCAAAGTCAAAATAACAATGAAGACCAATAAACCAAATAGCAGAGGTAATAGTACATCTGCTATGGTATCAAAACAAAATTTACCAAGGAAGGTTTAATGTGATGACGAATTGTTTTTGATTACATAAAGGTGGCTTGAACTTTCTAATTGCTAGCTAGGGCTTCCACAAACTTTAGGATACGCCCCAAACACGTTTTTTAGATAGGTTTAAAAGATCTGTTAACATCGATTTTATGTCCTGTCTCTAGAATATGTTTCGCAGTAGAGGAGCCAGGTCTCCTGTTCTCACCATTAATGGGTTCTGAAGATTCCATTTATTTCTGGACCCATTTAGAAATATGCTCTGAAGCCCTTACTTGCAGAGATCGATGAGTCCTCCCTATATATGTGTGTCCACACGTACATTCAAACTGGTAAATACAGTGGGATGTGACGTCGATTTTTGCATGTTCGAAGGGCTTAGACAGATGTATTGGCTTCACATTCTCAATTATTATGATATTAGCTGCATAAAAAGTCTTTTTAACAGCAGCGTTCAGTCTTTGTCTAGTTATCAAGCTGCTTTGATGCCCCATATAGGGTAGCTTGATGTACACGTCTTTCTTAGGGGCGAGTTGGAGAGTGGGTCTTAGTGTTCTGACTACTTTATATCTTCTGATGAACTTGTCTGGATAATTGTTATCAACCAGAGTTTGAGTCAACTTTCTTTCTTCTTCATCAAGTGTGTCTTCAGTGCATATTCGTTGGATTCTACTGAAGAGGCACCTTACTAAGCCTCTTTTGTACCGAATAGGGCAGAAACTGTGGTAATTAAGATACTGTCCTGTCCAGGTAGGTTTTCTATAAATAGATCTTTTTTATTGACCCATCAAGCCGTCGACTAAGCAATATGTCTAGGAAAGATAAACAATTATCTTCTTCTTCTACAGATGTAAGTGATATGCTATTCTGAACTTCATTCATTCGATTTAAAATTGAGGTGGCAGAACAAGACTTATCGCTGATGATTACAATATCATCTACCTACCTTCTATAAAGTGGCACATTTTCGATTAAATCCTCCGATCAATTCTCAATATACGACATATAAATATCTGCTAAAAGGGGCCTAACGGACTTCACATAGCATATATAAGCTGATTGGATTTTATAAATTCTGGTTTATTAATACTACTTTGATAAAGCTATTAGCAGCAATATTAAATAACGAAACGTCAGTGAAAACAACCATATCGTTTTGTTTTTCACTCATTCACTGGTAAATACAAGGAAAACCTTTACTATAATGAACATCATGTACTCGAATGCCCAAATTTTTTCAAACTGTTAAAAGTGAACTTAATTTGGACACATAAAATTCGATGGTCTATCTTTTAAAGTCCCATTTTGGGGTAAATTTTATTTTCATAAAATCATACAATGCTATGACAGTATTATTTACTGATGACGGCGTTTCAAGCACAATTTATCACCGCTCATAATCGTGTCAAGGCGATCGCATAACTTTCTTGCTTCATTTATATACATGAGTTTTATGTTTATACCAATCTTTTAAAGTGTTCAGTTACAGAATGCTTAATAGATGTAGACGAATATTAGGCAGATAAAGTGAGCGAAATTAAGCCAAAAATCTGGGTACGTATTGTTGATTACACATTCGTATTAATTAAAAGAAATGATCTAAAGCACACGCACAAATTAATCAACGTGTCTGAAGACACGCCAAGCATGCACATGGTCCGAAGTTCGAACCCTGGCAACAGATGCACTCCTTTACCTCGCTAAATCAGAAAGGTTGGGCATGCGGCTAGATACCTTTCGGACAAAAGTTCGACACAAATTAAGCCAGTATAGGATGCCAATGTAAAGTCAATCACCAAAGAAGTGGAGCAGAGGAAACACTGAGCTGAACACTTCAAAAGACTTCTAAATCGACCGCCACCTACAACGCGCCCAACAATACCAACAACGGAAGCAGAACTACCAGTGGACATCAACATCCTGACGAGAACAAAAATCCTGAAGGTAATCACGATGTTAAAAGCTGGAAAAGCAGCGGGAACAGATGGAATCTCAGCAAAAGCATTGAAAACGGACCCAGAAACAACAGCGGACTTGATGACACCCCTACTGGAGAAGGTGTGGAAGGGGGGCAAGGTAAGTGCGGATTGGAAGAAAGGATACTTATTCAAAGTGGCAAAGAAAGGAGACTTAAGGCAATACAAGAACTGGCGCGGAATTATCCTCCTGTCCATCCTAATCAAAATCCTGAGCCGCATCATCCTGGAGAGAATCAAACAAGCCCTCGATGAAAACTTCGGCCAGAACAGGCTGGATTCATGGGAACAAGTCATGTATTGATCAAATCGCCACACTACGTATCACAATTGAACAGAGCTTGGAATCGAGTGGAACTCGAAAGGGAAGCGGCGAGTCTGTTGTCATTGCAAGGGTGACTTGGGAGAGGTCATGTGGAGAGGAGATGAAAGCATGTGGGCAAACTTGGAGCTAGGTGAAAACTCTAGCAGAGAACCGAACGCAATAGGGACGCGTGGCTGAAGCCATATGTCCCTCTAGGAATCAAAGGAAATAATAATAAGTTTAAATAATGTGTATGGTAGTTAGTTTGAAAATTGCACCAAAAAATGATGATGACAATAATAATAAACTTACGGTGTCCAGCCTAAATCTCCTGGATTAATGTATAGGATACCAGCACGTGATACAGTCGCTGGTGTAGCTGTCTTCAAATGACTAATTTCAAATAGTAATCTCATACTATCCGTTAACGGGATACGCTCATTACTGGCTAATGTTAACACCTTATTATCATCCATAACAGTATTCAATGATTCAATCCACATTGGATCAATATCTCCGTCAAGTACAATCCATTTTGGATCTTTCCCTGTCATATTGGCTAAATCTCTCATTATAACAGAAAATAAACCTGTTATGGTAGAATAAATGTAGAAAAAGAACAAACAAAAGTATATGCCGATCAAAAACAGTAGAATTTATAATACTAACTAGATTTGATTGGGCAATTGACAGACTTCTACAATCTGTCAGACAGACTTTAACAACACGTATGTCGATGACATGTTCCTCATTTGTGACTGTTTCAATGAAACATCTCAAATATTAAGCGTCCTGAATAGTGTTCAACCTAATATAAAGTTTTACACTAGAGTGTTAATGTAACGACGAATTTCATTTTTCCCGACCTTGATAACTAACATGATACAGATGGTAAAATCTTGAGGTATATCAACAGAAAAGTGATCTGGGTGTTGGTGGAGGGTGGTTGATTTATCTGAACTTCAAAGTCTTCTGCCGTATAAACTACAAAAAAGGATTGATAAGAACATTGTTTGATCGTGTAAGAAATCTTTGCTTAGAAGAAACAGTTGAGGAAGAACTTTCCATTGTGGAAAAACGCCTGGATGATAGTGGCTACCCACAGAAATTCGTCGAAAAAAAATTGAAAGTGCAGCGGTGACAAAATGAATGATAGCACAGTACAGCAGAGTCCTCCTTTGTGGCTGTGAGACCTGGTCATGGAGAATGGAAGACATGAAAAGATTAGCTGTATTTCATCATAGGTGCCCGCGCTCTGTCTCCCGTGTTAAGTGGTATAGTAAGATGAGCAATATTGAGGTTAGGCGTCGAGTTCTAGGAAAGGAGGGGATATCAATCGACGAGGCTGTGAAGTTACATCGACTGAGATGGTTAGGACATGTGTTACGTATGGTAGCCTAGTCATCGCCTTCCTCAAAAATGGGCAATGTTAGCTGACATACAGTCAGGCTGGAAAAGAGCTAGCGGCGGCCAAACAAGAACATGGAACCAGTCAAGGAAATCCACAACAGTTAGTTTAAGCCAGCCAAGTAGGAAGGTGTAAACTTACTGATGGTTGGAGTCCTCGGGACGGTAAAAACCAATGACAGCTGGAGACAATTGGTGATTTGGGTCAAAATCGTTCTCAATGGCTGGCGTAGATGCATCCACTCCTTGTGACCTACAATTTCCAATGAAACTCTATTGTTCTTTGTTATTATTATTCCTTTGTCTCACACCTCTGTTTACTGTCTCTATTATGCATTTCTTCTACTTTCTTCTCTTGCTTTGTGTGCTACAAATAGGGAGTGTGGCGACTTAAACTGGTGCACATATATGCAAAGTTCTATGTCGAAAACAGATAGACAGTACAGAAACAGTCGGCATTTTGTCTACAGCTTCCCTTCAAAAGTGATGATACTTCTTGGGAAATAACATGCACACTGAATGCAGCTCTGTAAACAACATATATACACATACCAAACTTGTATGTGTTTATCAAACGACTAGTTGTTTAAGACAGTCAAAATTGGACAGACTCCCACTTCATATAACCGCCAACTTTCTCTACCAATTTACATGTAAACGTTCTGCAGCGCATACATTGAAAGAACATAGGGTAGGGTTATTGTCCACATATCTGAACACATACCAAAGAACCTGAGACTAATATCCTTGTAACAGTAGAAGGCAAGACACGGAAGTCAAAGTATATTTTTCATTATTCAAACCTCTGTTTATATATCTACAGTTTATATCTGTTAATCAATCACTGAGCGTGTGATTTTGGTTTACATCAAACAACATGAAACAGAATGTCCAGATATACATAGTATTCTGTTGCGAATGCAGTATTTTCAAGTATTGGTTTTGTAGGGATTTTGTTTGATTGCATGGAGGATTTAATCATGAGCTGACATCAGTTAGAGAACCACTGGAAAACCTGGGAGTACTGGACAGCTGTTTCGTCCTAGTTTGCGACTCTTCAGCAGTACGCACCCACCGTTTCTGGTTACAAGGCGAGCTCGTAGACCATTGAGCCACTGGGACCAGAAGGTCCTGGGTTCGAGTCCCGGTGGGTGCGTATTGATGAAGAGTCTCAAACTAGGACGAAACAGCTGTCCAGTACTCCCAGGTTTTCCAGTGGTTCTCTAACTGATGTCAGCTCATGATTAAATCCTCCATGCAATGTAGTATTTAACTGTGGGAATACATGAGAATAATATTCTGTGAGAACAGCTTGTCTGTATAACACCAATACAAACTTACAGGCATGAAACATTGTGATCACGAATCATCTATCTATTGAACACTGGCCAAGTTGTGGACAATCTGATGGTGTTCAAAATAATTAACAGACAAAAAGAACCTAGCTTGCTAAGTTTTGCTGAGGCAATCACCAATTGAAAAGAAACCTGTATACTCAGAAAGAAAGAGAGAGAGTGTGTGTTGAATATCACACTACGTCATCTTCTCTCCTGTTTAGAAACTTCCATTCCCTCATCCAATCTTCACTTACCCTACCCCCTCCTTTTTCTGCCCGTTTTATAAAGACATATTTTCTGTGATTACGTAACCTGTTGTTTGTTATACTTTTCCTAAGTAAACCTTGTTTCTACCTACAAAAGTCTGTTGAACTCTCTTCTTTTGTTTCCAAGCGTAGTCATCTAATCTTTCTATACACAATCAGTCCTTTTCGCTTTTAATTATTTAACAACTTACATCATTTTGGACTTGCGTTACTCTTAGTTCCTACCAATTACTCCTTGTCATCTTGGAAGAAGAGTGTTCAAGTCTTTGATGTAATTTATATTTCAGGATTTCATCATGAGGTAACATTGGTTAGAGAACCATTGAAAAACCATCAGGGAGTACTGCACAGCTGTTTCGTTCCAGTCCTAGGGACTCTTCATCAGTACTTACCCAACATATGGGTTTGGCCACAGGGTCTTCCGGTCACAAGACGAACTCGTAAACCATTCAGGCACTGAGACCCAATCTAATTAGCAAACTTCTACTAAATCACGATATAGCTATTCCAGTAGCCATTGTTACCTGTGGCGAGTATTTGTAGTCACAGCCGACCTGCTGTACCTTGCTGTCCACGACTTCCCACTATAACTCAGGTAACTACGTACCGAAAAGTCTCTGGTTAGAATCCCACTGGAACGGGTCGGGGTACTGATGAGGAGCCCCAAACTAGGACGAAATAGTCGTCCAACGCCCCAAAGTTTTTCAAAGATTCTCTAACCAATGTCAGCTCATGATGAGATCCTGTAATCAATCAAATCCTGGCAAAAACCAACACTTACCATCTTTCCATTCACGTGTTGCTGGATTGATAACACCGAATAACTCATCATTTGTTACTGCTTTTGGGTCTAAATCAATAGCGACAGGTTTCTGTTTTTGCAGTTTAAATGTATGCTTAAGTGTTTTCCATACTTGTGATTTACCCGTCCCAGCATTGCCAACAATAAATACAGAATGTCTAACTTCAAAAAGTTCTTGTAATTGAACAACCTAAATATTTTGTGTGTGTGTGTGGAAAAAATGCAAGGGTAAAGGCAAAGAAGAATGTGAGGATGATATGCGGAAAGGTAAATAGACATTCTAGATCAGGCTGGCTTCTTAACCTGAAGATCATAGGTCATATCCATGGTGGCATCATACATCTCACATTAAGACGAACCACTTGTCCAGTACACACTGGTTTTCATTGGTTCTCTAAATGACCTTGATTTGTGATCGAGCTTAAAATCAATCAAGTCCTTGCAAATTGACACTTGATAATATCGAAAAATAATAACAGTATGCTTGTCAATGTAGTTGAAGAATGAACGATCAGTTCATGGTTGTTTGCTCAAACCCAACTCCTCCATATTTTTCACGGGATTCATCAATCCAGCAGTCATCATCTCATCGTTCTCCGTTCAGTGGAAGACAGAAAACTATCAGAAGTATTATCGTGATTTATTGTTATAACATTTATTCTTAGACCTTGTGTATAACAACCTTATTGTTGGTTACATATTGGTGGAAGAATGAAGGATTCTCGAGTCGCTAATCTGTGTTCTGGTTTTTCGCGTTGGTTAATACAAATTGTTTCTGAAAGTCTTCCAGGGAAAGCGTGCGGTCCAGCGTAGTAAGAGCTGAACATTGACATTTTCTGAGAGTTGGCTGACAATGCTATTTGCATAATATGCATAGAGTTCGGGCCAGATGGCTTAAGCAGTCAATTCTCAATTGATGGGTATTGGGTGTAACTCCTGCTTCACCTGTGGCAGTCTAAGTAACTATGAAATATCACCTGTTTTTAGACAGTAAGCGCGGTTCATAGCCTGGTTGAAGAAAATTGACTTCTGATTAATTAACTAATCATAGAATACTGGTCAACCACACAGTTGATCCGGGTTCGATTCCTGACTGACACACTCTTAATGCTTGCTCAGCTAGTAATAAGCCTCATAAAGACGTAGGGATAACAAACTCACTTATGAAATAAATAGCGTGACCACTACTGAAAATCTAGTGCTCCATCTTGAAGCTTTATGTTTCACTCGGAAATATGAAGGAATGTAAAAGGCAAATAAGTGTGATGTGTACTACTTATAATAATGAAAATAAGTAATAAATACTGTGATAGTATCTGACAAATAAATGAGATTCAATTCAGGACTGTAAAGGCGGGTGCTACAATAGACATATTAGGAACCAAAAGGGTGCGAAATCCAAAAGACAAAAGAGGAAGTATAATGAATGTGTCTGGAATACAGAATGCGCGTATTGTTTGCACGAAGTATGCACGAAGTTTTGTGTTTTTCAAAGTGTATTTACAGAAATGCAACATTATCCCCCTAAGTTCTGACTGAAACATAGGGCTTTAGTAGCACATTCCCATTCTATCCTATTCTTTTCAAACTTCTTTAGCTAATCCCCTGATTAGTATACAATTGGTGGATGGTGGCTAGCAGTGGAATCCAGGATGCACATTTCGTCCTATTTGGGACTTGCCACAGCTGGATGTACCTGCATTTCTCAGTGAGTGATGATGTTCCCAACGAGGCTCGAACCCAGTGCCCATAGTTCCAAACGCCAAAGCGTTATCCACTAGACCACTTGGGCCACGAGAGCCACCTCTTGTGCAACGGGTCATATTAATTATTGAATTGAATTCTTGATTTTCCCGTCGATTGATTGGACCGAAGTGCTCGGTCTCAGGTTGACATGTCGGCTTCTTGTGCAGATGCTTCGACGATGTCTGGTGATTTGATTTGTATACAATTGGTGGATGGTGGCTAGCAGTGGAATCCAGGATGCGCATTTCGTCCTATTTGGGACTCGTCAGCTGGATGTACCTGCATTTCTCAGTGAGTGATGATGTTCCCACCGAGGCTCGAACCCAGTACCCATAGTTGGAGGCAAACGAAGAACGGCTATGTTCACCACCAGTGACACAGCTGATAATGCTTTGGCGATTAGAAAGATTGGTTGTTGGGTATGACTCTCAGTCGGGTGATGATCAACTACATCCAGTCGACGAGTCCCTCAGCAGGACGAAATGTGCTAACAATCATCAATCTAATAGTAAATGACATTCTTCAGGAGAAAACAATGGCATTGTAAAGCGAAGCTTTTACTTCAACTAACCTTCAAGATAAATGAATCCTCTGGTTGTAAGCCTAAATCTTCAGTAGCTGCTTTTACATTTGCTTCAAAATTTAAATCACGTTTACGCGATGCATCTAAATTTGGAAACAAGTCAGATATAAGACCTAAAAATACAGCCATATCTTCAGTGACTAATTTAGGTATGTTGAAATCTCGTAGAGCACGCATTAACACGGAATCTTCAGTGTGTTCAGGATTACCACGTTTCAATGCACCAGCTACAACCAACACTGATTTAATAGCTCTTAAACCCCAATCATAATGATCTTGTTTCGAAAGTAATTCTTTGCATAATTCATATAGTGTAATAAATTTACGCGCCAATATAGTTGCCTCTAGAAATCCTTGAGCTACAAGCATAATTTCACAAATCAATTCAAAATCTGGCACTACCATAGCACATGGTCTAAAGATGAAAATAAAATTGTAAGAATGAGGGACAATTTTTAAAAATAAAAACAATAGGCAAGCAAGTTAAATCATGAGCTGAAATCAGAGTTACAGAAACATCAAAAAACTAGAGTAGAGTGAAGAGCTGTTTCGTCATGATCTAGGACTCTTCAACAGTACTTCTAGAGACTGAAACCGAGTTGTGAGGCGAGCTCGCTAATCATTTAGACACCCAACGGGGTGGGAGAGGAGAATTTAGTGTCCCATGCATACTACTGAAGAGTTTCGGTCTTGGAAGGAACAGCTATTCAGTGCTTCCCAGGTTTTTAGTGGCTCTCAGACTGACATCAGGTGGTGGTATAACTTGAAACGACGAAAATGCCTGTAAACTAGATTGTGTCATCACACTAATCTCTCGACTAGACAGTTTAAACTTGCTAGGACTATGGTGAGTACTAATCACAGTTTCACTTTCTATATCCATGCGTAATTTACAATTTTCTGAATAAAATAGGAAACTGTTGTTATTGATTGGTCTTGTGAAGAGTCATCACATCAAAATACGCATTATAGGGATATAAGGATAAGTTATTGAGGAGACGTTGATTTATTTGTTGGTGAAATGAAGGTTAATTGAACCTTCTCATAATCCTCCGGTCATTCTGAAATAATACCACTTTATAAGTGGTTCCTCATGTCATTCTCTGAGTTGAATTGTTTTTTTTTAATTTTTATGGAATCTGTTGGTCATGGTCGCACTTGGCATCATCAAGCATCTTATTGAAAACCCTCTAATATTAGAAATTTAATAATTTTCAAAAGAATGCATACTGAACAAAGAGTACTCTTTTCGATAACCTGTTCTTCATCAAGCTCTACAATTATATATACATTATAGTGAATGAATGAATGAATTAGTGATATGAACAACATTAATGTTGTTTAAATAACATCGAATCAATAATATTGATCGATTACTGCTCAGAAAACCAGATGGAAGAATGAAATGAATGCTATCCTTCGACGTGACAGCATTATATACATCCATCGGACAAAACCTAGCAAAAGAAACCATGGAGCAATTACTTAGCGACGACGAACACCTTCCACAACAATCAAAAATGCAACACACAAGCTGGATGGAATGCACAAACCTATGCCTAACAACATACTTCCAATTCAACGGCCAAATATACGAACAAGTCAAAGGAACACCCATGGGATCGCCAATATCAGGTTTGATTGCAGAAGCAGTGATGCAAAGACTCGAAAACATAATTCTACCAAAGATCAAACCCAAGATTTGGATACGCTACGTCGACGACACATTTGTAATAATCAAAAGAAACGAGTTAGATAAAACTCACAACTTAATAAACAACGTCTTCAATGACATCAAATTCACAAGAGAAGAGGAATCCGAGAACAAAATACCATTTTTGGACGTCTTAGTCAGGCGAACAACCACAGGGGAATTAGAAACTCAAGTTTATAGGAAATCAACTCCACACAGATCAAATCCTGAATTACAACAGCAACAACCCAATAACACACGAAAGGAATTGCATACAAACACTACTAAAGAGAGCAAGGACTCATTGCAGCACTACCGCCTTAAGGAAAATTGAAGAAAAGTATCTCATGGACGTCTTCCAAAAGAATGGATATCCACGGAATTTCATCAAGAGACATATACCCCCAAGCCAACCTACCAAAGCAAAAGCCACCAAGGAAAGCACAAAGAAAATCGCCTTACCATATATAAAGGATATCTCAAAAATCACTACAAGACTCTTTAGACCTTTAGGAATTGACGTCGTACACAAACCAACAAAGCCGCTTCACTCAATTCTATGTCAACCAAAAGATGTCACCCAGTAGGTGAAAGCTTCGCAAATTAACCATCCAGCTCAGAGAACACAACCACATCAAAAAGAGTATTCTTGGTTCTGTATCCGTTTTTTGAAAATTTTAATGGGCATTTTTAGTCAATTTAATAATTGCTTCAACAATACACAGTGTAGTGTCTCAAATCTTTATCAACCTCATTCAACAGATATATGACAGTAACACGTGTTAGGTGGTCCACAACACAAAACTCAGTGAAGCGTGTAGAGTGAATGCTGGGGTAAGACAAGGGTGTGGTTGTCGACTATCATCCCTCATTGTCGTCGACTGGATTATACATCAGACTATGGGAAGTGAGGAAGAAGAAGAAGAAGACTCTAGATGATCCAAACTTCGCGAATGATTTACGTCGGTTGTCACTTAAATCATAAGACGTACAGGCGAAGACCGAAAAACCGGAAAAAGAACCAGGTGGCGAATACAGTACTTCAAGCGGACATGGAGAAAACGGACAGTGGTGATGAAGATAACTAACCAACCAGCCAACAACATTAAACACCAACTACTATCAATGTTAAACCAGTCAGTCACTTCACCTACACTGGTCAGAAACTTACACTGCGCTTCAATAAAGTCATTTCAAACAGCAAGCTGTAAACTTTTACCAACACCTACCTTCCTATGGCTGCATTCTGTAGATCAGATAGCCAGGTGGCCAGAAAGAACTAGCAGGAAGAAGAAACTTTCAGAGCGAACCAACCAAGAACTTATCGCCCAATAAATATGTTGGAGGAAATGGAGATAGATAGGAGACCACGCTGAGAAAACCGCCGAATGATATAGCACGCCAGTTGACCGTTCAAGTGGAACCCGAATGCGAAACAAAGAGTTGAGTGTAGGTCCGAGGGTGATATGGAGCAGATGAAAGTTTATAAGCAACCATAGAGTCAACTAGAAGAGACTATATAGAATGGGACAAAATGGAGATGTAGTGTTGAAGAAGCCCTGTGTACCACCCGAAGTGCAAAGAAAATGTGGCAAAATATGCAAGAGGCAAGTAATTACAAGAGTTACATGATAAAATCAAATCAGATATTAGGTGTCAAATACCTAAACAATGCCTTTAAATTCTCAGGCAGTTCTGTTCGACCAGCATAACCTGGATTCATTGTAATGAAAAGACCAACAGCTGGATCAAGTGGTATTACTTCACCAAGAAAATTGAATTTCTCCTTCTTCAACCGGATTGCATCTTGAATACATTTCACCTAGACACATAGAATTCGAATAGAGAAAGTAAAAGAAGAAGGAATTATAGGAGGAAAAAAAACTTAAGCAGAAACATGGCATATACTACTGAATTACACAGACAAATCAATAACACAAATCAATAATTGACAACACTATGCAATAGCAGCCAATGATAACCTCGACCATACACAACCAATCAACTCAGCTACCAAAATGGCACCATGGCACCACTGAGCACATGAACAGTTATTGGTTAGTATTAGGAAGGATTCATTTCAAATAATCGGAGTTAATTTCAAACAGTTCATAATATTTTATACATCTAAGTCAACTGTGTACATGGTAGGGAGTTATATTCTTGGCCGATGAACTACCAAATCTCGTCTAGCCAACATTAAGACAGGAAATGCTACTGAAGCTTCAGAACTCAAGCTCGAAGGTGTATGTTCCCTTCAGAACTCAAAAGGGATAAAAGGAAACACAATCTCAGGTGCCTTTGATCTATTTTAAGACACACACTAAGAAATCTGAAATAATGTGAACAGTTTGCAGAACAACACCATCAATAAGGTAATATTTAAGACTTGCTATGAAAATCCTTGTTTCTGACTTTCTATTGGTTATCAAAGTATGTCATATCAAATGATGATACAAATATATGTATATGGTAAAAGTACTCGACCCTGCAGTCCTTGAAACAGTCAAGCGAAATTGAATTTTGGGCGTGAGGACAAATATTCACTGATAACATTGGCTGATGGTGGTGCTTTATGTCGTGAACTGGAAGAAGTTAGAATTCATGGATCATTCGATCGGGTCCCATTGGCTGAATCGTCACTGGGCTCACACCGTAACTTCATTTTTTATTTTTATCTTATTCTTGATTACAGCTTGATTCCACACCGTATTTTTGGTACAAGTATGGAATTTTCAGCGTGGATATCGGAAGCCCAAATTTCGCAGGACGACCATAGATATCAGGTGTGCGTTGGCGTGGGCTCGAGCCCCGGACCATGTGCACGGTCAGCGAGAGTCCTAACCACTGTGCCACTGACGCACAATTTTGGGTTCCCTTTGTTGTAATAATGGATAGGTACTGATGAGGAGTCTTAAACAAGAACGAAACAGCGGTCCAGTACTCCCTGGTTTTCGATGGTTCTCTAACTGCGATCATAAAGTGATCTAACTTCCAAATCAAAATTGGTACATTACCGTTTTTAGAAGAAACTTAATTCGAAGTAGTGTTGAAAGCTTGGATCTTGTTCTTTATGCTGAATGCAAAAGATTTCCAAACTGACTTTGAAGTGATGAAAGTCTATCTCCTCTTTACAATTCAGGTATTGAAATCCCTATCTATGCTGGCCGGCTGTCGTTGAAAAGATGCTTCCTGGATGCATAACTGAAGTAAGTGATCTCCCTCAAATCTATTGCGTTGATGTTAATGTTGCTTGTTGTGGTTGTCGCTAGTTGGTTATTTTCATCACCCCCGTCCGTTTTCTCTATGTTCACCTATAGTCCTATTTTATCTGCCGGCTTCTCCATCCGGTTTGTTAGTTTTCGCCTATAGATCTTTGAGTTTGTCTGACATGAGACATAAATCATCCACCTAGAAATCCACTGGATCTTCTGGCATCTTCTTATAGCCGAACATATTCGTGTCTTCTCACTTCCAATGCACAGTCTGACAAATAACCCAGTCAGTTAGATCGTTTATTTGAAGTATCCATTAATTCTGACGACAAAGTCTAGTTTCAGAAAATTAAACTAGGGGCCAATAAATTACGAAGCAATGTAACCAGTACCCAAATATTCTTTAATTTCACAGAGGACAACTCAATAAAATAACTAACTAATCTATTGCTCATTATTAGGAAGTCATGAGCATAGGGTTCCATTAAGTTCCCTGTGAGGATAAACACTCACTGATGACACTAGCTGGCACTTGCACTAATAGTAATAATACTAATAATTCTCTTTATTCCAAATCAGCACTAATGATTCCTTCCAAGTGTCTAGATAATCAACGAGCTTGTCCTTTAACCTGGAGGTTGTGTCCCTCATGGGGTGATGAATATGTGCCTCTGAAGAGTCCCTGTCTAGAACGAAACAACTGTCCAGTAATCCCTGGTGGCTATTCAGCTGTTTTCTAACTTATTTCACTTCATAATCAAACCTCTAACCTAACAAATCCCTGCTAATCAACACTTCATAGTTAAAGGGAAAGGAACAAGAAGTTCAGCAAAGTCGGCGATTTGCTCGGAGATTTCATTCTCAAAAGCAGCTGTACAATCGCATTTATATACATTAGTTTACATAGATACAATTGTTATTTATTTACTTAATTCCACATAGTAACGAAGTTGATAATAATTTTCAACTTGATATGAAAGTTTGAAGGTACGTATATAAATTCTCTGGCCGTCCACTACTTCGGAGCAAAGGGGAGGACAGACTTCCGCATATAACCACTTCATTGTGCATATATCACCTCACCTGCTCCTGCGGAGCTAGGTACATAGGTCGTTCTATGCAGGTCTTATCAAAACGTGTTAGAGAACATCATCCAGCATGGCCACAAAGAGGAGGCACTGGTTCAATCAGAAACGCAATAACTGAACACCTACCTCGTCAATACCTGTTACAGAATCTCAACTGACTCATCATTCAGAGTCATTCACAAAGTAAACAAAAATCTACCAAAGGCAGTGTGTTTCCGACTTCTTTGTATTGCGGAAGCTCTTGCCATATGCATCGGAAAACCGGAGCTATGTGTTCAAAAGAAACTAGTCCAGCCTTTACAACTACAATGGACGTAGTTCGGTATGTTCCCCCTATCCTTCAGTTTTTTTGTTTTGTTTTGTTCTGTGTGTGTGTGTGTGTGTGTAATTTTCTCTTTTTGTCTTCATTCAATTCATCCCATTTTTTTCAGTTATAAAATCATTTATTTTAAGTTTGTTTCCATGCTCCTCCTGATCACACTTGTAATCCGTTTAGAATAACCATTTTACACTTATATTCTAATCCTGTGTAATTTTTTTGTTTCTATGCCTCTTGTTGTCTATATTCACACCTCCTAACTTACATTTCAAGTTGAAAAATTTGATTTCAGTTTGTTTCCATGCTCATTTTGTTCACACCTGTAATTCGTTCTATCTCTGCGCAACATTTGTTTCTAAGCCTCTTGTAATTCATATCAAGTTGAAAATTATTATCAACTTCGTTACTATATAAAGTTAAGTAAATAATAATTGTATTCATGTGCACTAATGTATATATATGCGATTGTACAGCTGCTTTTGAGAATGAAATCCTTTGCTGAACTTCTTGTTCTTTTCTCTCTAATGTCCCAATGGGTATTTTCCACGACTTTATCGTTTCATAAATCATTGTTAGCGGGTGTCTAATTTTAAATCTTAATCATGTTATTTGTGTGTCGTGGCACAGCGGTTAGGACTCTCACCGACCATGCACATGGGCTACCGACATCACATGCTTAAAAATTCCATACTTGTACCAAAAACTACGATGTGGAATAAAGCTGTAATCAAAAAATATTAAATAATTATAAAACTTACTGCTCAAACAAGTGGGAAAAATATATCTATATATATCCACTTACTTGTACAGCGACAACAGATAAAACTTCCACTGCTATCCGATTGAATTCATCAAAACATCCCCATGCACCAGTCTGTGCTAATCCCTTGTAAATATTACCAATTGACTTGTAATCCATTTGTTCAGAACAATTGAACACATAGACCATAATGCCTAGTGCACGGCCTAAATCTTTTGTTGTCTCTGTTTTCCCTGTGCCAGCTGGTCCAGCAGGTGCACCACTCATACATAAATGCAGTGATTGTGTCAGTGTGATATAACATCGATCAGTTAACGGTGTAATGACCAGTCTTGGTGTATTGCCTAAATATTCATAAGCATAACGAAATTGTGCATCACAGATATTAGCAAAACAATCGTGTGATTTATCATCCCATCTATGTCTCAACTGGGATAACCATGTGAAAGCTAGTGAACTTTCAACTTTTTGTGATATCAACTTTCCGACAACATCACGATTATGTACATCAATAGTGCATAAAGTCATAATTTTTGTCGATCACCAGCTGACAGATCAATTAATAGCATTTGTATTAATGTACTCAGTTGGGCAATTTGTTTTCTATTATACTCTTTCATTGCATTCTCTAAGCCTTCTTCTAGTCGAGCAAATGCAATCAACACTTCACTATTCCAACCGATTTGTGAACCGGTTAAAGCTATCTGCGCCGGATAGTCAAATATCCATTGATCTCTTGGTTTCTCTTCATAAGCACTGACTGCATCTGCAAGAATGTGACGCAGAGTGTTGCGCATTTCATCTAACAGTTTATTCAACCATTCTTCAACTTGACCTTGTAAATCAAATGATTTTGTGAATTTCACTACTTCACTATCCTAGAGAGAGAGAGAAAAGAATGAAAGGAAGGCGTAAATGATGATAAGAAGATAAAGGCAGGCGGGTGAAAGCTACAATTATTACAGATCATTTTTGACGGGGACCACTATCATTATTGTTATTATTCTCTCTTGGTACCTAGTGGAGCATATGGCTCCTAAAATCCTCTTCAGCTGGGTCCACAATTACCCATAATCTCTCATCTTTTTCTCCCCGGACGATCTCCTCCATGTCTTTTTTTTGCTTTATTCCAGAAACAGTACTAGTGGCGCACTGTGCCATATTCAGCACATATCTACAAATATTGCATCTAATTTTATCAAACATTTAAAAGGAGTATTTCAAAAAAAATAAATATAAAGACAACAACAACAAAAACAAACAAAAAACAGAAAAAAAATACAAGATGTGAAAAATACCAAAAAATAGAAAAGAAAATAAACAACATAATAAATAATATTTCAGTATTGGGTAGTAGAAGGTATGATATATTTATGCTTGGTGACAGAAGTTATGAAATGATATTTAAGAATGTTTATCGTCATGATGATCAGTCAATTTGATTGAACAACACTAAACAGTCACAAAATAACATTTCAGGGTTGTCTTTTATTGTCAGCTCTAATGCGGTGTTTGTAGTGGGTAGTGTGAGTAATCCTGCATAATACAACATTTTTAAGATGGTGATAATGGCGTTCACAAACCAAGAATGTCAGTTAATATTGCCGAACAAAAAAAACCATTAACAAAACTAATATTACATGATGGTTAATGACAGGACAATTTTGTAACACTCATAGTGATAATATAGTCGGAACCAGTAGATACACAAAAGAAGGAATAGAGTAAAGTACAAAAAAAGTAACTCAATGTTAATAATTTAGGTAGCTAAGTATGTTTAGGAAGGTGTTCACTATAGAATACAAATAAGAGAGAAATAAAAGAGCCTGAAACTATGTTATTAACATCAAAGCAAATTATAGGCTTCGCGCTTAACATTCTCTCTGTCACTTAGAACACTGGTCAAATATGGTATCGTTGAGTTCCTGTACTTGGTTGTACGAGCATATATTATTTTGTACTGATTTCTGGTTCTACATGATGAGATACAAGGAGAGCGTTGGGAATAGAGGGGGTGCTGGGGTTCGGAGAGTATGGTGTTTTAGACCATTTTTCGCATGTATTCAGATAACTTTCTACTAATGTAGTGACGAGTTAACTGAGTTTTACACCACTAGTCCTACTAACTACCGTCAACATCCTTCTCAGAATGGTATAGTCCTTTTTCAGTAGCCTAGGAAAGACTAACGGGAAGCGGTAAAGTAGAATAGGTAAGATACGAGAGTTGACAAATTGTGAAAGTAGAGTTTGGGTGATTCCAGATAGTCTAAGTTTCTTAATGTAGTAGGTTAGATGGGACACTTTGTTAGAAATCGTTAAGATATGAGATGACCAAGTAAGGTCGGAAGATAGAACTAGACCGAGGTATTTTGCATTAGACTTAGTTTCAATTTTAGTCCCCTCAATGCGACAGGCTTCATGAGTACTTACTAGTGTTCGCAGATCTCGTTTATGCCTAAAGGAAAAGCCAAATAGTCTGGCATTTTGAGGGATTCAGCATGAGGCCATTTAGTTTGGACCACTGACTGATGCCTGACAGGAAGCTATTTAATTTGAAACAGTCTGACTGAGACTTAACGGGAAGCGAAACAGTCAGGTTATCTGTATATTTTACGAAGTTGATTTCGTCTGAAAGAGGTAAATCATGTAAGAAGAAGGAAAAGAGAAACGGAGAAAGAACAGAAACGGAAGCCCTAATCTTCGTTTCCATTGGGATTCCACTCAAGCGATGGCCTGCATTGAGCGCAGTGTCATTCGATGGCCTCCTCAAAGTATACCCCATCAATCCATCTCCATTTGTTTAGCAATCCGCTACCGCCTGTTGGTTTGTTCACTGCCAAAGTTTCTTGTTGCTAGTTCTTTCTGGACGGCCGGCCGGCAGGCGAAGACACTGTTGATAAAAGTCGGTAACTTGTTGGAAATCCTTTCCGTGACACACACTGAAAATTTCTCGCCCATAGAGAAGAAGAGACTGACTTCACATTTGTGTTGAACAAATCCCAATCTTCTTCTCTATGCTGGTTGAGTGCAACTCAGGAGATTTCCTAACTGGTTTCAGATTGACGAAGGTGTATCTTGCCTTTCCGATTCTGGCTGGCTGGTTTTGACACCCTCATCTATGCTTTTCAACTGTCTGTGGTTGAAACCGTGCCTCCTGGCCGGATAAGTGAATGAAGTAACCTCTGTCAAATCCCTCGCGTTTATGGTGATCTGTGCCGGTTGTTGTTGCTGTTCGTTGGTTATCTTCATCACCTCTGTCTTCTCCACGTTCACCTGGAGTCCTGTCTCCTCCAGCTGCTTCTTCGGCCAATTTGTTGGTTTTTACATGTATATGTTGGAGTTTGTGTGAGAGTAGACATTAATCATCTGCGAAATCCAGATCTTCTAGAGTCTTTCCATCCGCCTAACGTATTCGTGCCTTCTCACTACCTAAAGTCTGAGGCATAATCCAACGACAGGTATCGGAAGCTCCTGAACGGGAAATTAATATTACTTGTCTTGCGTGATTAAGGTCATTAGAATGCTGAGAACCAATGACTTCCAACTGTTGGTAATAGGGTTTAAAGATCTTATAAAGAATAATCGTCTTTCTGTTGTCTCTGGAGCGCTTTGTGACTGTGCCTATGGGAAGAAGATTCTCAGACAGCTGTGCAGTAGGACACCGACACTAGTTTCCTGCGTTTAGACCATGACAAGTTGATTTGGGCCGTTACAAGACCTGTGTTTTCTATGCAACTCTTGGACTAAACATTTTGCCTTAACCTAACTGGTCAAAACTTGTAGTTGACTCGTCATTTGCCTTTAAAATCTATCTTCTACATCTTTTCAGCAGTATAAGAATAGTTTCCGTCATATACTGTTGTGTTTCGTAGGTCTCTGCGCTGAATAACAGCGAGTTTTTTTTTAGCTCAAACCATCATTCAGTTAGATAGACACCAAAATCAAGTATCAAGAAGTTTTGTCCATTTTTTCTTTCCTCTTCTTTCTTGGCGCTTTTCGGGTGCATTTTTATTAAAAGTGTTCCATTAAAATGACATTTCGAATATTTATTGATCGCCTTTTCAGATATTGTTTTGTTGTTTACTTCCAAACGACCTGTAATAAGGACAGTGAATTAACTAGATTTCCCATCAACATCATTCTTCTGAATTTTCTATAAAGAGAAGTTTAATGTATCCTTATTTTTGGATAGATTATGTCCAACTTTTAGGTGAAATATCCTATACGAATCTTATAATGCTTATTGTGTGTATGTGTATGCGTGTATATTTCTACAACTATAAAAATGATTGTGATTGTATAATTCTATGCTGAAATCCAATGGGTCAATATTCGTTCATGGTATATCATCACAAGTTTGCTACAACCTGATTGGATGATATAATTCCCCAACTGACCAATCAGAATGAAGTAATCTGTCATTATGTACTTCAACATTGGGACAAAATTCACTCGATGATGGGGAAGTAGATGAGATGGTTGATGTATTATTCATGTCTGTGTCTCAATGAATCTCATGCTTCGAGAAAGTCGAACGTAGATATTTTGTCAGCATCAACTTGTGTTGAAGTGAACCGAGGTTTTATTGCTTCTTAAGAGATTCTACTCTTGTTAACCAGCCTAGATGACTGTCTAAATCAGTTCAATCCTTTTATCATTTAACATCTTATGGATGAAGTATATCATTTCAGAGGTGAATGATACAAGTTTCCTCTCTGTGAATGAAAAAATTCTTATTTCATGAAATTGAGAACAAATGAGTCAGCAAGGAGATTTCATTTCCTGTGGCAAGTCACCAGCGAACATCAGATTAATTTTCTGTGGTGTGGTTTGCAAGGGTTAGTTTTGTTTTTACGAGTTGATCACGGATTGATATCGCTTAGAGAACCACTGAAAACCGTTGAGTGCTGGACAGTTGTTTCATCCTAGTTTGGGAATCATCGGCAGTACGCACCCACTGCCAGGGTTGCAAGGCAAGCTCGTATACCATTCATCCACTGAGACCCTATTCAATAACCAGTCCATGAATTCTAACTTCTACCAATTCGTGATTTAGCACCACCACAACCAATGTCGTCGGCGGGACATCCATCCTCACACGTGACATCTGGATGGACTCCACTGGTCACGTCTTCTCATTAGAACTCTAGGAAACTCCATCCTGTAGCAAGTCACTAGCGAGCATGAGATTAATTTTCTATAGTTTGGTTTGTAAGTGCTAAATCATGAATTGGTAGAAGTTAGAATTCATGAGACATTCAATCGGGTTCCAGTGACTGAATGGTATACAAGCTTGCCTTGCAACCGGAAGGTCCTGGGTTCGAAACCCTGTGGTGGGTGCGTACTGCCGATGATTCCCAAATTAGGACGAAACAGCTGTCTGGTGGTACTCCGTCGTTTTCAATGCTCCTCTAACCGATGTCAATCAGTGATCATTTCGTAAAATAAAGATCTCATTTCGTAACTTCAATTCAAAGCTGTACAGAAAGTTAGAGGAACAATAAGTTCTCCACTTGGCCCATTACTGGTCGTTTGTTTCACGGCGTACCTTGAGTCAAATATTCGCTTACCAACGATCAGACGGTTTGAAGTTCACAAGGGGTATATGGATGATATATTTATCATCAGTGATGAAAATACTGACCTAAATAAAAATCGTGTGAATCTTCAGCAACACCCATCAGCCAGTTTAATTCAAAACTGAAACGGAAGCAGAACAGAAGAAGAACTCTAATCGCCTCTCAGGTGACAAGAATCCACCTTATATGCACTGAAGATGCATTGAATAAGGAGTTGGAATTCTTTGGAAAATTTCTGCTCACAACACTGGACATTCAACCTCCTCTTTCAGAGGCAAACATCCAAAGAGAATGACCGATACCCCTCTCGAAACCTAAATTTACCAAAGAAACAATTAATTGTATATCTGAAATTATGGAAATATACAATTAGTGAGGTTCTACGAAGCTGCCTGTCGACAGCAATTCAAAAACGTTCTCTACAGCTGCATTTCACCGTCTCATCTCCTTCACACATGCTCTTATTCACTGAAACGTCAAAGGCCATATTGCATATTGTTCTGAACTTCAATGTGTATTTACCGATTTTGTTTCTCCTGTGGAGTTGTTTACATAGGCCGTGAACCAGTAGGACACTGTCTGGATGTGTCCGTGAATACTTACCACCATGTTTGTCAAAAGGAAGGATGTAGAACAGCTAACACCTCAGTTCTGAAGTATATTATTACCAATTCTGGTTACGCAGCACCTTGGATCAGTTCTTTCCTCTGACCTTTCATGGTCATCCCACATCTTATCTATCTGTAAGAAAATGTTTCGTCTTACCTTCTACATTAAAAAGTTAAGACAATCAGGTGTCATCCAACCTTTACTTCTGCAGTTTGTAAACTCCTGTATTTTACCTATTGCACTCTATTGCTCTCCATTAAGCTTTCCTGGGCTTCTCAAAAAAGATTATATCATATTACGAAGAGTATTAAATGCTGTGAGTAGGGCTTGTGGTCTGCCACTGCGTTAGCTCGCCAATGCTATGGTCGAGAGACACATAAATTCCTGTACAAAATGGCCAAAGGCTGCACTGTCAGACCCCCTGTACCCCCTTTATTCACAACTATCCCCTTGTATCTCATCAGGTAGGACGAGAAGTCAATATAATAAGTTATATGCTCGTACCACTCAGTATAGAAATTCTACAATACCCTATTTAGCCCGTACCTTATGTGACGAAGATTCTGTTAGACGTGAAACACATAAGTTACTATGTAATTAGCAAAGTGAATCGACCCTTTTATCAGTCATCTTTCTGTAATTTTATGGTGTCACCCTTTCTATCGTTTAATTATAACTTTGCTATTTTATTTTAGAATTTATTACTATTATCACTGTAATTTTATACTTTATGCATATTTTTCTTCGTATTGCATACAGTAATTTGCTACATAGCTGCTATAACAACGTTTTATTATTATTATTATGTAATGTTTGTTTTCATTATTTTTTTTTCGTTTTTGAGTAAATTAGATGCAATATTGTACTGAATACTGAAAATTCCTTTCTGTATCACTAGTACTGTTTTTGGAATAAAGCAAAAATTATTAATATTATTATCAGCAGAGACTTATTCTTTTAGAGTCAGTCAGATATAAAGTACAATTAGGACATCCGAAGGGATTTCGCCCATATCTTCTTCAGGTCACCTAAGCCTTAACAATCCTAACTGACAATAACCCTTAACCCGTAATGTCAATCTATACCGCATATATAAACATCTTTCAAATGAAGATATAAGAAGAGATCTCTTTACTGACTCATATGTTCTCAACTTTCCCTCAGTCTGTAAATACGTCTTGCTGTTGAATGGTGATAAATATCATATTTCATGAAGCACTCATAACTTCTTCCGGGTTAAATTATAATATCTGATATTACGACAACTGCTAAATGTCAGACCACCAACCTCTACGGCTTGGCATGAATGATTTCCGACTAGTCGAATAACACCGAGAGGTACTCTAGCGATGATCGGCCGTAAAGAGAATGCGAAGAAAATACATTGCACTGATCAAGGCACTCTACTTGAACTCGTACAGCCAGGTGAGGGCTTACAGCGAGTTGTCACCTGAAGTGGTGAGGACTAGTGGTGTCCGTCAGGGATGCCCATTATCCCCATTTCTATTCAACTTCATCATAGATGTACTGATGGACTTAACCCTAACTCACTTCAAAGAAACAGGGATTGACTTGCTACCAGGGAATGATCTCGTCGACTTAGAATATGCAGATGATATAGTCCTCTTTCCTAGGTAAAGAGGCTGACAAAACGCAGAGTCTTTTGAATACATTGAGCTGCATCTACGAATGTCTCGCAAGCGATTCGCTCCCGCCAAATGTAAGATGATGTTACAGGACTGGACTGGACTACACTGAATCCTAGTTTAGAAATAGGGAGTGAGGTAGTAGAGCACGTTGACCGCTTCACTTATTTGGGAAGTACCATCAGCCAACGCCAACGGGTTGATCTCTGACGAAATCTCAGCACGGATACAGAGGGCTAGTTTTGTATATGCCAGTTTACGCCGTCTCTGGAGTAGACGTGATATCCGGCTGGCTATCAAACAAGGGGCGGGTGCACTGCTCATCAGTCCGCTCCGTCCTCCTTTGTCACTGCGAGTGAGACATGGCCATTGAGAGTGGAAGACATGAAAAGACCTGCTAGCTTTCTTTGCTCATAGGTGCCTGCGATCTATCTTCCGTGTGAAGTGGCATAATAAGGTGAGGAATATTGAGGTGAGGCCATGGTCGAGTGCTAGGTAGGTGGGAGGGGAAATCAATCAACGAGGCTGTGAAATTACATCGACTGAGATGGTTATGATACGTGTTACGTATGCATGCCTAGTCATCGCCTTCCTCGAGAATGGGCAATGTTAGTTGACATACAGTCAGGCTGGAAAAGAGCTAGCAGCGGTCAAACCAAAACATGGAACCAGTCAATGAGATCTACAACAGTTAGTTTAAGCCAGCCAAGTAGGAAGGTGTAGACTTCCTGACTGGTTGGTGTCCTCGGGAAGGTAGAAGCCAATGTTTGCTGGAGACAGTTGGTGATATGGGTCAAAATCGTTCTCAATGGCTGGCGTAGATGCATCCACTCCTTGTGACCTACAATTTCCAATGAAACTCTATTGTTCTTTGTTATTACTATTCCTTTGTCTCACACCTCTGTTTACTGTCTCTAATATGCGTTTCTTCTACTTTCTTGTGTTGCTTTGTGTTCTACATGGAGTGTGGCGACTTGAACTAACGCACATATGTGCAAAGTTCTATGTCGAAAGTAGACAGACAGACAGACCGATATTCTAGCCAGCGCACAGCGGATAAAATCGATAATCGGCTGATTGGTTCTAATACCATCATCAGTAGATTCCTAACGTGACGCATACGTACTTGTGTGTAACTTACATGTTCCATGCCTGATTGGGAGATTTCAGTACACTGATATTAGTACCAGTAAAGCGAGGACTAGTACCCAGGATGCCTCACCTTCAGACACAGATGTCACATTAGCATCAACAAGCATCCGATTGATTGACTGCTATAAGATACTTCTTCTAACGTCCTATGTAAGGAAGAGAAGACAGTCTGATATCATTCAGTCTTTCCACTTAAAGTCTGTTAACAATTGCTTTATCCCCACGTTAATCTTCGTTGGAATACTTAACAAAGACTTTATTACATTATGAAGAAAATTAAAGGTCATTAGTAGGGCGAGTAGGGTGTCACTGAACCAACTCTTTAATACTGTCGTGGGTAGATACATGGACTCATACAAGAAATTACCGAGTATTATTATGTCAGCCCCTGAGCATTCTGTGTATACATGCACAACTTTGTCCTTGCATCATCTCATGAAGTAGGTCAACCTAGAAGCAATTATTGAAGTTTTAATGCTCTGATGACTATGTATAAAACTCTACAATACCTTTCATTTGGTCGGGACACATTTTATGTGATGACAGAGGTGCAAGGCTTGATACTAATAATTTGCTGAAGAACACTAAGTATTCATACTGTCTCTCTCTCACACACACACACACACAATCGATTACACACACCCTCGAAACCTGTGCCGTTGTTGAATTTTGTTCCATCCCCATCGTATATTCGACCCACAATACACATTTCTGGTATTAATCTAACTTGCCTTTACTGACTAGCTATTGTATGCTTAAATCGATGGATTTATTTTCTATAGTTTGGCTTGTAAGGGTTAGTTATGTTTTTTCCAAGTTGATCACAGATAGATATTAGTTAGAGAACCATTGAAAATCAAGGAGTACTGGACAGCTGTTTCATCCTAGTTTGGGAATCATCGGTAGTACGCTAAATCACGAATTGGTTGAAGTTAGAATTCATGGACTGGTCATTGAATCGGGTCCCAGTGGCTGAATGGTATACGAGTTAGCTTGCCTTGTAACCGAAAGGTCCTGGGTTCGAAACCCTGTGGTGGGTGCGTACTGCCGATGATTCCCAAACTAGGATGAAACAGCTGTCCAGTACTCCCTGGTTTTCAATGGTTCTCTAACTGATATCAATCCGTGATCAACTCGGAAAAATCAATGGACTTATGATTATAAAGCCTGAAGAAGAATTTATTGAAACCACAATTATTCGCTCTAACTATGTCTGCTCTAAAATCACATGGTACTTGAAGCCTTATGTTCCACTTGAACCTCACCAAAAAAAATAAAATATAAGATAAAAACATAAAGAAGAAAATGGTAAACAAAACAAGATGGCGGCAAAACTTACTTTAGCAATCATATGCGTAGCATGTTTAATTGTAGCTTCAGGATTGGCAAATGTTAGACTACAAATACTATCAAATAATTTTGATAAATGACGTATCACTTTCAGCGGGACTTTTCCATTGCTAACAATATCAGTCACATCATTCTGTGAGACAAAATAAAATCTTGGAAAGGCTAGACGTTTTGTCTCTAGATAATCAGCTAAAGCCTTTTCACAAATCGCCAGACCATCTCGTACCTTTTGGATGTCATTGAGTAATTCTAGTCGTGTAGTTGTAGCATCTAACACTTTTGGTTTACTTTGTATCTCATCGATTAGAACACGAAAATCTTTATCCAGTGACATAAATAATTCTGTATCTTTCGGCAATTTCGCTTTGATATCATCACATAGAACAAATATTGACTCTAAACCAGACCATACACGTTGTGTTTCAAACCAGATAGCGAGTACCTGGTCAGTAAGGGATAGAGTTTTATGCCAATAATTAATTTTATCAATATAATAGGCATTATCTCGATTGCCTAACATATCTAATACTTTAACTTGTATTTCTTCAAGGGTTGTAGTTAAATAATCTGTTTGTTTTGGTAAACTCAAACCTGTTCTATCGTGTGTATCATATTCAAATTTCATTTCACTCCATACTTGTTCAATCTTGTCAAGATCACGTTCAATTTTTTGTTCATTCAATGATTTTGATACAATAGCGCGTACTTCTTCTTCGAATTTATGCAAATTTAATGATAGTAGATCAGCTAGGGTTGTTGTATCAGTGATTTCTATTAGACGACCAGTTTCTTGCATTAATTCTGTCCAATGACGAGACTTGACTGCAGGATTTTGTAGATCTCTTACAGCTGTTACTGATGCATTAATATCTTTTAATTCAGCCTCTAAACCTTGAAACATTGGCCATTGACGAACTTCTTTATCCATTGTACGTATTTCCATTGAAATTTCACGGATGACCTAAGGCATAAATGTGAAAAAAAACCGGTCAGTTACTCACCATACCATGTTTTAGTTTATTATTATTTCATAATAATTTCTATCACAGTTATACATATGCATTTAGTTTTATTAGCTAATGGTTATCCGGAGAACTTTATCACTTGTCACAGTAAGGATAGACCACATCTCGAAAAGACAGCTTCTTTACCAAAGAAAGCTATCTACCTTTGTTAACCTACCATTCAAGGGTGACCAGATTATGCAGTTGACAGCTAACTCAAAGACTTCGGTCAGCCATCAAACGCACATTCTACGCCGCATCTCTTTTTCTCACTTGCCGAACATTTTCGATCCCTGTACCTACGATTAAAGGACGAAATTCTGTGATCTGTACTTCAAACTGTATCTACAAGTTCACCTGCAGCTGCGGTGACACCTATATAGGTAGAACCAACAGAATGTTCCAATGTCGTCGGAAAGAACATGTTCCAAAATGGCTAGTAAATCATATCGAAAATCCCAACGCGATTACTCTGAATAGAAATCCAGCATCATCATCCACTGCAAAGCACTTATTAATGTCAGGTCATAAAATCAATATTAATGATTGCTTCACAATTATTTCATCACATAACTCTAATTCAAGGTTGGTTATCGAAGGTGATGGAAGCACTTTGGGGGATTATCACATACAGCCTAAACTGTGTGTACAAAGGACAATAGACTTCAACCTTCCTTCGCCTAGCATGGACTACATGACCTACTTAAATAAAATTGGTCATTTGTATGTACTTTTGTTTTTTATTTAACTGAGTAATTTTCATGAACTTTATTTTATCATTGTTAACCATGTTAGTTGTAAAGCGGTTGTAAAGAAACTACGAAATGATGATATCATCTCGCGAAATTTGCCTTCTTAATGCCTTACTCACATTTATTGTGTTGATTAATAACACTGTATTTCTAATACTGATTTTGTGTGAACACTTTACCGTGTTTCCAATGGCTTCGGTCTATTTTGTAAATTAAAGAATTGTCAGTTATTACTCACACTTATTACGCAACTCCCAACTTCAGTTCTTCCCCACTTGTCTTCATTTATCTACGCCTTTCGAGATCATACATCATCTTGAAGAATACGCTTCAGAAGCACTCACCAGAAACTGAACCCGAGACATTCACGTGACAAGGCAAGCTCGTTGTCCATTCAGCCATTGGGAGGGGATTCAATGGTACATGATTCCTAACTTCTGTCAATTCACAATTCATGGAGCCACCTCCAGCTAATGTCATAGATCCCCAATAATATCATGGGTGTGTACTGCTGAAGAGTTCCAAGTTGTCATGAAACAGATGTTCATTAATACCCCGCCCCCAGCGTATTTATCGATTTCTAACTGGTTACAGGATTTCATCATGAGCTGACATCAGTTAGAGAACCATTAGAAAACCAGCTGGTAGCACTGGACAGCTGTTTCATCCTAATTTGGGACTCTTCACCAGTTTCACCTACAACCAGGCTTCGAACCCAGGACATTCAGGCTTCAAGGCTAGCTCACAGACCATTAAACCATTGGGACCCTACACAGTGGTCAGTACATGAATTCCAACTTCCGCTAAATCACCACATAGCGCGACCACTAGCCAACTTCATCCATGGCGAGTATTTGCCCTCACATCCAACCTCCTGTACCCTACTAGTTAAGAATTCCCACCTGAACAGGGCTAGTCACTAGTAAGCATGACAGTGGTACCCAAGTGTTGTTTTGTATGTATGTATATTAAGAAGGGACATATCTTGTCTTTAAAACCCTTGTTCAATCATATGAGTCATAAAGTAACTGCGAAACATAATTCACAAAATTACATGAATTTTGATCAAAATTTAACCACAGAATTACAAATATTACAGATAGTAGTCTATTTTTGTTAAACAGTATGTACTTTTGCTTCAGATTTTTGATGATTACGTTCGACGAAATTTCATGGTCATGGAAAAAGCATATGTTTATTTCTCACTGAGCACTAAATCATTTGAGAACTATTCGATCTAATCTTGATCACAGTTCATATGAGTCATTCATTAATATCCATTTTGTGACTAGACATTAATAAACATTTTCGCGATGAATGGTTCATATCAAAACAAAGAAAAACTACTCCTTGAATGGACAGTTTCAGTAACAAAGAAAGCTATTGTTGGTATTAGATGATTGGAGGCAGTTCGCAGGCAGCCTTGCTTGACATAGATTTCGTTCTAATTGGCACTCGTTAACAAGGCGTATCTGCAACTTTGAAGGAACCCATATCCCTCGTGAGGTTCGAACCCGCGTCACCCAGAGACGTTACCATTGAGCTATTCGAGCTCGCGGTTGACTTCCTCAGAAGGGACATGAGCTCCTTCAAGTTTTCAGACACGTCTTGCTGACTGGTTAGTGCCAACTAACACGAAACCTAGGTCGAAGCTTCCAGAAGACTGTCTCCAACTATTTAGTACTAACAATTCACAGTGCACCGTAGTGGCAAGCCACCTAGTGTGGTGGCCACATACGATTCAATCTGCACCAAAGATGGGACTAGACACATTACACCAGTTACTGAATAGTATCCAATTAAAAAGAAGGCTAACTTAATTAAACTACCTATGAAGGGTAATCGAATTGTACATTTGACAGCTAAAAAAGTTGGCCACGGTTAACTATCATCAAGCGAATATTCTTTACCATATACGCTGTTGTTTAATACACTAAAGAGATGAAGAAATGTATTCTTCTTCACGCTGTTTACATTGATGCTATCAAAGAAGTGAGTAAATGTAGTCTGCATGTAATGTAAGGCAACATACAGCACAATGAATCAATGAATGAGTATTCGTAGGCCGAAATATGCGTGATAGACTTTGATTTCCACTTCACATCTGAGTTGCATTCAGTTACTTGTTGTCATTGTCCATTGTAAAATTCTCTGCTTTTAAGTGTGTTTCTACAAATTATGGTGGCTTTAGAACCAGCATACTTTTGTGCAAGATTCTACATTCATAAGTTAGTCGTTTAGATAAACAACAGTCATTATATAACAGTGAAGCGAGAGATAAATGACCACTGTGTATATTAGGGTAACAGTGAATACTGGGTACCTCTCCCTCTCCGCTGCCGCCACTCACTGATAACTGATACTTAATACATACTATTTTCACTTGTCAATAACTGATAAACTTTTAAAAGACGAAAGGATTGATAGAATAAATATTTTCTTCCTAATTAGATCCTCGTCACTGACTCTAATATGTATATATACATATGGCGATTTCAATACAATACAAAAGGAGTGGATTGCATAATGCACATAATTTGAGAAAAATGAAGAGTGATTATGAAATAAGTGAGTATTCAACTTCGTTGCGTAATAGGCCATTTGAGATGAAGGAGTCAGAAAAATTTAAAATAATTTCGATAGTGATATTATCTGACCACACACGGACTTGTCATAAGAATACATATGAAATTAATAAAGAGGTACATGTGGACACACATACATAGGGCGGGGGTGGGGACTCATCGATCTCTGCAAGTAAGGGCTTCACAGCATATTCCTAAATGCCTCCAGAAGCAAATAGAAGCACCAAAACCCACTAATTGTACGAACAGGAGACCTAGCGCTTCTATCGCGAAACATATTATAGAGACAGGACATAAAAGTGATGTTAACAGATCTTGTAAACCTATCTGTAAAACGTGTTTGGGGCGTATCCTAAAGTTTGTGGAAGCCCTAGCAATTAGAAAGTGCAAGTCACCTTTATGCGTTCAAAGCAACAATTCGTCATCACATTAAACCTTCTATGGTAAATTTTGTTTTGATACCAGCCAGGGTAGATGTACTATTTACCTCTGCTATTTGGTTTAGTGGTCTTCATTGTTATTTTGACCTTGAATATGTCCTTTCAACTTGACCTAAGTCTATTTTCTCACATCTTACCTCTTTATTAATTTCATGTATATATATATATATATATATATATATTCCCATGATATGTCCGTGTATGGGATGCGATTGTTCGGAATGTGTGTTGCGCAAATACAACACTACACGATTCAGACAAATTACGTCTTCCTATTGATTTATCTAAATTCATGAAGGGAACTAATTGTTTTAAAGTGATATTATTACCGAAGTATTTCAGTTTTTCATGCACAGTACCTGGCTTTAGTGTTAAATTCATATTCTTCTCAATGGAATTATCTGGATAACATCAGTGAAATAGCAAGGCAGTGCCTGATGAATGCAGTTAAGAAAATAGCATCTATTCGAACAGACGTACACTGTTTCTTCACAACCACTTCGATTTTACATTGGACAAATAAGGACAAACTACTTAATGTCGCCTCGTGTATACGTGTATCTATGCGTTTGACTGCAGCTTCGTAGTCATATATATTAGGCGAGAAAATAGGTAGGTTCACCATCGGTGGATTTCTATGCATCATTCTACATAGTGGTTAAGCAGCAAGGGACAAACAAGATCTGTTCATAACTGTGTTTTAGCCCACCTCGCAGACAGTCAGAATAAAATTGATATTTATAAGGCATTTAAAGTTATTTAACGGATTCCAGCTGATCTCAGTTTTGCTTCACAAGTTCGGCTTCTCTATACACAGCTGAATGATGCCATGTGAATCCACTAGAAGAAGTAAAACTTGCGTGTTTACAAGAAATTCGAAACAGACACTTACCTTACTTTGTAACAAGGAATTCTGGAAACCAACTAATCATGGAGCAAATGCCCAAGAAATATGTTGTACAAAGGGCAAATGGACAAGACAGATACTGGGGAAACTCTTGACTGAAATTGCTCACCGGGCACTTAATTATATACAGAATGGAAAAGGACTTGTTGGACGTCCAACGGTGACAAAGTGAAGATTGTGTGAACAAGTAATTAAAGCCTATGGGTATTAGTGAGGCGAGCTGAAAGTGATTTGAGAGAAAGGAGAGCAGTGGATACCTGCAGTTGTAACCAGATATATGGTCCACTTGGAACTCAAGGGAATACTGATATAATAATTACGGTCTACAAGATGCCTTATTATCTAAGCTTGGTGTCACCATTTTGCTACCATTTGAGAAAATGCTCAATCATGCACATAGGCAATTGACTTTTCATACGACCTATGGATTTGATTTCAAAAATTTGACAAATTTATGAAATTCTACTTTAATAACACGTTAGTAAGACTTGTTTCAAACACTGAATGTGAACTGAAAACCCCTTTACTGCGGTATGATTCACTCATCTCAAAATACCACTAACATATTAGACAGCATTATTGGTGAGGTGTTTTACTAGATCAAGACATATAAGTGAACAGTATTGTTGTCTTCAATTGGATCTTCTTCTTCAGGTTTTACTCTAATCTATACGTAAAAAAATTTAACCGACGTCGGTGAGTTTGTGGATCAAATAATAATAATGATAATAACAACGAGTGTTAGATGTTTTGAACGTCAGTGATAACGATGATTATAATGATAGAAAACTTAATAACAATAAGGCTTATGAAGGTAGTGATAAGAATAACAAAGATGGCAATATGTGTATATGTAGACAATTCAATAATTAAATAAATTAGGTCAAATCTTAAAAGTTACGTAATACTAAAGGTGGTGAAGTGGACAGATAATCAGAGTTTTTGAATAAATGTCATAAGAGTACTAAGGAAATGGCAAATAAGAAAGGGTGGGAGGGTATTAATTAGACTTTAATTAGGCCAGGAGAGAGACTAAGGTAGAACAAACTCCTTTTGATGTATGCAAAGACTACGATTGTTCTGTCGAATTCCCATAGATTCGGCTATGTGTCAAAGGCGGGTTCGATTTCCGTTCGAAAGTTTCGAAAGTGGAATGTGATAGATAACTTCGAAGGCACTTCTTCTTCTCCTGTCCACTTGATGACAGCTGTTGTCAGTCAACTGAGACAGAATACTACTTCTTATAGATTTTTATTGGCCTTTACCAAACCAAGAAGGGAGATGCTCATTAGTGCGTTTGTTAAGCTGTCTAGTTGTTCACCCTGTATAGCTTTCTCCACTGGAGCAGCTAGATTTGTAAACACACACTGAGATGACACAGCTAGGCAACTTGTCTTTCGCTTGAACGATCATAATTGATCTGCTGGGAAATGTCAAACAAAGGGAGGTGGTAGTATAAGTCCGTTTTATGCCTCTAGACAATCTTAGATGTAGAAATTCACCAGCCACATCCTCGTTGAACTGCAGTTTGAGGAACAGTTGTTTCTTTTTAACTGGTGCCAGGTTCTCCTAATAATACCTGGTGTTCATATGTCTCCACACAAATCTGCTAGGATAACCCATTTGGATCAGAGTGTTTGGTATGTATCTTAATTCATTTCTAGGGAGTCATCTGTACAGATCCTACTTACTCTATTCGTCAGGTATCTGACCAAACTGACTTTTTATCGGATTGGTACAAACTTGAAGGAATGTGTATACTGACCTACAGATGTAGGTTTCCCACACACATATAACTTGAGTGAACCATCTGTTCTCTTTTCTGCTCAAATGAACATCAAGGAAGTGTAGTCTACCATCACGTTCTTCTTCACAAGTGAACACGAGCGATGGTTTTGCATCATTAAACTTTTTTAACATTTCATTCTTGTCAGCTTTCACATCAAGAATAATAAACGTATCAACAACATAACGAAAATAAGAATCCGTTTTATCTATTACTTGTTTCAATGGACTATTTTCAAGCTTAGCAAGAAAGAAATCTACCTAATCTGGGCTTAATGGATAACCCATGGCAATGCTGTCGATTTGTCGGTAACAAAGGTGTCTGTTGAATATGAATTTTACATTTATAGCAGCTCCTTAAGACTTATAATTACATTTCCGATATCAAACTGCTTTCCTCATATTTGTTGGCTTATGAATTCCACAGTCTCCACATAAGTGGTAAATTGGCATTTGCTTACCACTTACATTGACATAATTTACGTTAGAAATGAATTCAAAGACATCTATAACACTATAATATACCACATTCTTATGCAACGGTTGAAGGAACTCATCTAGACTCTTCAGAAATGTCTAGGACTCGGTGAAGAGGAATCCCTTTTCATGTATTTTGACCAAACCATACAATCGTGAAGTATTACTTCCAGTAGGATTAGGATGGTTGTAAGCTGTCTCTGAGATTACGCTACTTTTCCTTAGGTGTTTAAGCGTGGTCGTTGGCTGCTATTCAGCTACTCTTCTGTCTAGATCTGTTGAGCTGTTAAGCTTCCGGAATTTCAATTCATCGGTTAGAAGCGAGTTGGTTTTGTAAACGTACTCACACTTATTCATCAGTACTGCTGTGGCTCCTTCATCAGGCCTGCTGATTCTAATGTTTTCATTGTTCCTTAAAACTTTGTGAGATTGAAAATGTAATTCAAGTACAACGTCGACATCTTGGAGTTTCAAGATGAATTCAGAGAAACCAGTAGCAGCAAGTAACAGCAAATATATTCCATCATATTACAATGTTATTAGAAAATGTGTGACCCCTGACACGATGTGGGTGTGGTGATAAGGACATAGGCTTTGGCCTGTGTTAAGAAACACACCCAAGATTAATCAGCCGTGACATCATCCGGTGTCCCCGCACCGCGAAAGATAGTCACGCACATGGTTCGTGGTATTTTCCGTAGCCATTTCGTCAGTTGGGTTAAAAATTTCCAGTGACACAGGTTCAAAACTAAAACACAATAACATTAAGGTCATTACCAACATCCATCCACCTCAACTGCATAACACCATCACTACCACACCAAGCATTACACAACGGTTTGAGGCAAATCATGTATAATATGACCACAGGATGATTACTGTATTCGATATAAACCCGTTCACACCAGCGAACTTACTTTGTGATGAATTCAAGAAGTTAAGAGAGGGTATATATGAAGTGCTCGTAGTACTGGTGAATGTTTCAACTGCCCATTGGGTAGTAAATTGTAGTAAATGCTTCCACTTTATTCGCTGTGTATTTCATACTACTTACTACCAATCAGTAGTATGACAGTAACTAGAAGATTAACTGTTATCCCAGAGGTATCAAACACTCATCGCTTATTAATCCCACATATTTCACAGAATTATTTCCAGTATCAGTTTAAATGTATCTTTGAATACTGGTCAGTTACCTTGATGATATCAATATTGTAAATAAAAACTTGTATTCTTTTGATGTGGATGGACTCCATATTCACTAATGTCCCTCTACTCAAAACAACTGACATTTTGTGTGATTACGTTTCACCACACATAATTTGCTGGTCCCGTTCCCTATATTTTATTTACAGCGTTTATTACTTCTATGAACCAGAAATGTTAGGCTTACATTTGAAGGTGACTGCTCCTGTCAGGTTGATGGTGTTTCTAAGGAAAGCTCGTTCACGATAAATTTAGCAGAAATCTATATGTTGAGCATTGAAAGTTTATCGGAAGATCTAATTGAAAATGTACCAGTTCCTAGAAGATATGTCTATGACATTCTGATGAACAGTGATAAGCCTTGTTCTGCCACTTCAATTTTAAATCGAATAATTGAAATTCAAAATAACATGTCAATTGTGTCTGTAGGAGAGGAAGATAATTGCTCATCTCTCCTAGATACATTGGTTGGTCGACAGACAGCCTCATGGATCAATAAAACTATCTGTTTACGGAATACCTACCTAGATAGGACAATATCTTAATTATCACAGTTTCTCATCTATTCGGCGCGAAAGGCCCTTGGTGAGATGCCTGTGTCAGTAGAATCCAACGAATATGCATAGAAGACACACTTAAAGATGAAGATAGAAAACTGACACAAACCCCGGTTGATAATAATTATCCAGAGAAGTTCATTAGGAGATCTGAAGTGGTCAGTGGAACACCAAGACCTATTCTCCAACTCGCCACTGTGAAAGACATTTATATCAAGCTACTGTATATAGGTGAATGTGAAGCTCATATATCCATGTGAGCACTTGGAACATACGAGAAATGTTGTCAGTTACCACTCTATCTACCAATTTAAATGTACCAATAGCCATACACATACACAGGGAGGACTCGTCGATGTTTGGACGTAAGGACTTCAGAGCATAATCTGAAATGGCTTCAGAAGCAAATGGAACCATTTTAATCCATTAATTGAGAGAACGGATGTATTGTAGAGACAGGAAATAAAATTTATGTTTACACCTCGTTTATTCAACCTATCTATAAAACGTGTTTGAGACGTATCCTAAAGTTTTTTGAAGCTGTAGAAATTAGGAAGTTTAAACCACCTATGTGTGTTCAAAGAAACAATTCTTCATGACACTGTACCACCTTCCTTAGTAAACTTTATTTTGATACATACCAGGGCAGATGTACTATTACCTCCCTCTCGAATGTTATATTGACCTTCAATATTGGAGCCTTTATAACTTGACAATCAACGTCTATTCGCTTACCACTCAACTAACGCTTGATGCCTGTCATATATTACATTCCAATGGCAAGTACGTGGAGTGTGGCCAAATTGTTCGAAATGTCTTGCACCGCAAACACACCCCTCTATTCAGAAAAATTACGTCTTCTTATTGTTTAGTCCAGATTCATAAAGGGAACAAATGGTTTCAAATGCAAATGCAGCAAAGGGTAGACATGGCTTTAACAAGTGGATTGCATAACACATAATTATTGAAAAAATGAAGAGTAAGTAATTAAGCTTTACTTACTTCATCAATAGTACCAAAATCAATTTCTTTCCATCGTGATGTTTTCCAATTGGTTACATAACTTCTAAACATGTTAATATAATCCCAGACACGTTTAGTTGTCTTCATTCCACGTCGCATTGTTTTCATATCTAAATAAGCTGGTACATCACGTACTTCAAATGATTTAGCTGAGATTTGCATTTCACCAACACCTTGTTCAAGTTTCAATAGTTTTTGATTCCACTATATGAAAAGTGAAAGAGAAAATTTTTTCTTTAATACAGACGTAGATAGGAATAAAAAAAATAAACACTCATGTGAGCTTAATTCATCATTACTATCTCAGTGAAATAAACTGAGGTGTAAAGGAAACAGAAATACCAAACCCAGAATCGGAAGGGTTAGGCACACCTTCACCAATCTGATGGGATCATTTTGAAAGTGTTCTGCACTCCGCCGGCGCATAAACATGACTCAAATTTTCAACATCAGCGTTAAGTCAGTCAATCCATCAGTTCATCTATATGGATTTGCAACTTGCACTGTAGGTCACAAAAAGCGTTTTCAACACCCAGGTGAAGACTTTTATTAACAGCTGGCCTCGGTGTCTCCTAACACAGAATATCAAATGGCCAGGTGACCAGAAAGAATTAGGAACAAGAAACCCTAGGAAAGAACTAACCAAGAACCTATTGCTCAACAAATATGTCAAAGAAAATGGAGATGGATCAGAGAAACACACTGAGGAGACCATCTAGCGACATCGCACACCAGACCATTGGTCAAGTGGAACCGAAATGGGAAACGCTGAGTTCGGCCTTAGTCCGAAGTTGATATGGAGTAGATCGTGTGAAGAGAGGGCGAAAGCGGATGCCCGGCGCTCTCCACCGGGTTGACTGTCCATTGGATGACGGTCTAGGGAGATGGCTAAACCCTGATTCCAAACCTCCAACGACTGGCGTATGAAGCTCACTGGAGCTCACCGGCGGACGTATGGACAAAGGGCTTGTTGGATGTCCTGGATGTCTGGCCCCATTCAAAAAGGCGTATGAACCGAACTCCGGTCACCGGCTGCCAATGGATAGTGGACTCCTTACTCCACTCCTACTGCCTTGTAGGTCACACTTGGCTGTGTAAAGGCTAGAGCTGCACTCTCAAACAAAAGGCCGAGCGATTCTGGGGAAATCACTCGTACCAAATTCCCATGAAACTTCATGAACTCTCTTACAAATTGCCGCGCCTGGGTAGCGATGATTCGAGACGTTCATGAAGCCGGCTCATCCTCCCGTAGGAGATAGCCGAAGTAAAGTAAGTAAGTGTGAAGAGATGACACGAGCCAGATATATGGGACAGGAGACAACAGGACACAATGAAGATGCCCTGTTGAACCTATCTGTATATTCCACTCAGAACCAAAGAGAACAACAAACAATACCATAATATTAATTGTCGATCAGGAAGTGATTTGGAAACTACTTCGCTACTACGGGGTCCCATCGACAATTATACATCTCATCTGACAGTTTTACGACAATGCTTCATGCCAAGTAGTCCATAACGGGAAACTTACGGAATCCTTCGAAGTAAAGACAGGAGTAAGATAAGGTTGCCTACTATTGCCAATGATTTTCCTGATTGCGGTAGATTGGATAATGCGACAGACAGTGGGCAACGAGGAAACAGGCATAAAATGGACTCACACAAAAGACTTGGAGGATCTGGACTTCACCGATGATGATATATGTCTGATTTCCCACAAACTGGAAGATATGCAAGTGAAAAGTAACAAGCTGGCAGAAGGAGCATCAAAGATAGGACTTCAGGTGAACACAGAGAAAGCAGAGGTGATGCAGATACCTGGGCAACACCAACAGCGGCAACAACAATAGACAGCAATCAGCCAGTATGAATTGGAGGAATCTGAAAGAAGCATCCTCGTTTACCTACCCACCTGGGAAGCTTCGTTTGAACTACAGACGGACGGAACTGACGAGGATATCAAAGTGAGGATCGGGCAAGCAAGGCATGCTTTCATTTAGAAAATCAAAACAAGTGATTCAGCGAAGAGACTCTTTTCAACGAATTTATCATCAAACTGTACAGTCGTATATATATGGTTTATCAGAAGTTATATCCGGGGAGGGAATTGAATCTTAGGTGTGAATGCATAAAATAATAATAATAATAATATGAAGTGCAATTAAAAAACTAAAATGTTTGTGATTATGCTTATAGTTAAATGTCAAGTGGTAAAGCAAATTATTGTCATATATAGAATAATTCATAGGAGGGATAGAACTTGAAAAAGGATGTGCAATTGTAGGATTAGTAGACAAATCGAATAAAACAAAAACGTTACGTAATATTGTGTGAAATTTAATAGCATAGAATTTATCGTTGTAGGAAACAATTGATTTAGAATGACAAGTGGAACAAGTGAAATTATACCGGGGACAGTTCAAAGTGAAAATACTAATAGTAACAATTGACTTAATAAGGTAGAGTAAACAAATTGAATAGACAAAATGAAAAAAATGAAAAATTGGTAGAGCTAAAATATGATTGGGGATTACCAACAACACTCAGTATCAAAAAAAAAATCCGGATTCTCAACTCGAATGTGAAGTCAGTGCTACTTAGTATATGGATCATAGGCCCGGCGAGTCACGAAGGGCACCTCGAACAAACTAAAGACCTTCAAGATCAGATAACCGGCCAGAAAACATCAGCAACAGGGATCTCTGGGAGCGAACTAGAAAAGCCCTCGAGTGGAACCCGAAATGGAAGCGGTGAGTTGGTCGTCCAAGGGTGATTTAGAGGAGATCATGTGAGGAGATGAAAGTATGTGGGCAGACCTAGAGTCAGGTGATAACTCTAGAGGAGAACCGAACTCAATGGAGACGTGCAGCTGAAGCCCTATGTTCCTCTAGGAACTAAAGGAAATAATAATAATAAATATAATAACATTAATTAATATTTTTGTTTTCATTTCTTTTGTGTTTGGCGTGCAACACACATAATCCTCCAAGCCTTTACTCTGAAGTTTCAGTAGGGATTATAATTTTGTTTTTTATGGGATGAAATTTTTTTGATTTACAGCTTGATTCCACACTGTATTTTTGGTACAAGTATGGAATTTTCAACATGGATATCGGTAGCCCAAATTTCGCTGACCGACCATAGATATCAGGTGTGCGTTGGCGCGGGCTCGAACCCCGGACCATGTGCATGGTCGGCGAGAGTCCTAACCACTGTGCCACCGACGCACAGCTAGCCTTACGGTTAACTTTCTGTCCTAACTAGGATAAGAAAGAATTAAGAATGTTTCGGGGGCCAAGAATCGAACCAGGACCACGTGTAGTGTAGTTGGTGAGTATTTTACCATTTCACCACCTTGATACAGCTAACATCTTAATTAAATGAAGTGCGAAGTATATTTACTATAGTATAGGAAGAACAAAAACGTGGTCACAACGAGGTAAAGATTTTTCTTTATGACATGTTTATCAGCTTGCCCGTACATTTATGAATATATAACAGAAAGGGTGAGGTGAGAAATTTCCAGAGCTACTTCTGTCAAAGCGTGAAAATCTGACGAATAACAAAAATGCAGTTACGTAACACAAATGAGGATCAAATTGAAATAGACTGGTTATGTGATAGTTGTGGCAGAGACAAATGCTGAATATACTTCTTTTAGATAAATACAACATCGACTTGAATTTTCAGATCTCTAATGCTTTAATTATACCCAAGTGTATTGAACTCATTCCTTTTAAGAGGCTTAATTGGATCTCATATGAGAGTATTCAGGTTTTCCTGAATGGGGTTGAGTTCCCTGAGTTCTCTATATGTTCTGCCCTTTATTCAGCCAGGAAAGGTAATATTGTTTACATGAGCATTTTACAAGCGTGTACATGGTGCAGAAGAAAGTGAACTGATATATGTGTTGATGTAGCCTCAATGTAACAGTTTGTCTGTCATGTACTAGAGTGGCTTCCAATCTCTAAAGTGTTTTAACAAGGAGACAACAAAGAAGGTTCAACCATCATTTTTTGCTCTCAATGTTTTGATTAGCAGTCATATCTGCGGAATCCCTCAGTACAGGTATTTCTAAAAGTTTTGACTTTTTACCTAGTCAGTCTATTGCCTTCTAGAACCGTTATCTATGTACTCAGTCTTTCAATTCGTGCCTTACTACCAGTGTATCGACAGAAGACAATGGCCGGGAAGCAGATCGTTTATTGAGGAAATCAAGAGATATTTATGTATTTTTATGTACATTATTATTCGTTATTATTAACAAAGAAACAGCGTCTTCTGATTGCTTGTTGTTCATTGGTTGATTGGTTGTTCTGTCATATCTTTGTGGCCGTTTCTTTGACGGTCTGCGAACCGTATCCTCCCACGCGAAGTCTGTTGTGATTGGTTGTTGAATTAGTCCTTGTTCTTTTTGTTTTTTTTCTCATGACCAAGATATGGAACGTAAATATTGACGTAAATTACTGTCTACCAGTTTTACCAAACTGGTAAAAGTGGAGTCAAGTGAATTTACAGACTAACTAGAGACTCATCTACAAAGTTAGAGAGAACCATACCCGAGACATACACATTAAAACTACTTCAAACGATAGAAGACATTACAGTCCATGTGGCAGAGTATAAATTCTGCATACCCAGGAGGTCTGTTCAGCCGTTGAACATAAAAGAGGAACTAATCACCGGGAATTTTTCATATTTAAACTCGAATTTGTTTCTTTGTTAGTGAGTGGAAGTAGAATAAAGGATACACGTTTCGTCCTATTTGTCACTTATTAGCTGGATATATATGAAGTCCCCAATGACTATTGGTTTCTCCACCAAGGCTCGAACCCAGCACCTAAGGAACACTACCATGCTATTAGATAACGACAGGAACTATTTTTCTTTTTACCTTTCAAGGAGCCCTGTTTATTGGATATAATCTAAAATGAAACTTATTAAATAAAAAAAACTTTAGAGTAGAAAAGAGGTGGGAGTTGGGGGTTGACAAGTGTAATCAATACAACTCACTTCATCTAAATCTGTATATGCTGTTAAACAGTTAAAATCGAATACATCAGAGGAATCGAAATTCTGCTTGAGCATAGCTGATTCATAATCATAATGAGCAGATTGTGCACGTATATTTTGCACTTCATTCTCTTGTAATGGTTGAACTTTTTGTTTAGTTATGATGGCTGTATTCTTTAAATCATTCCATTCATCTGGAAGATTCTAAATAAGAGAAATATGCATAAAGGTGTTAAAGTTTTATTTTTAAAAAGAAAATTCAATTAGGCATTTGTAAAAAATTATATTTGTAAAATCTCAGCGAAATTGAAATAAGTAGTTCCAACGTTTCGTCCGACAATCTGGTCCGAACTTCTTCAGGGAAATTAATCGAAATTAACATAACAGGGGTATATGTATAAAAAGACATCTGTTGTTTTTTAAAACTTTGTCCAATCATGAGCCATGAAACAGACATCAACATGTATAATAAACAAAATTGTACGAACTGTGATCAAGATTTGACCTCAGACTTTCAAAATTAGTCTACTTATGTTAAAATATATGTGTAGTATGCAGTATACAATGGTGTGTGTGTGTGGGTGAACAGTCCTAAAACATTTGTTATTCTCTCCATAAGAACTCGTGGACAATCTGGAATTTAAACAAGTGTGACTACTTGTTGATACATTCCCAATTTTTATTTATTAATCAGGATTTGCCTTGCATCAGCTAACATCAAATCTCCACGTCTGTTCAAACTGTTGAAATTCACCCATATATTTATGGCCTCGGCAGTCAGTCTTTCTTTATATGAACCAAAACCTTTCTGTAAAACCTTAGTTTTATCAAAGTCGATTTTGTGTCCCGTTTCTGTTGAATGCAGTGCAACCACTGTTCTGTTCTCTTACTTTTTTAAGTCTGCAGAGGTCTTTAGAATTACCTTTAGAATTTTTTATGCCCTTTCACTCATACATTTACCTGTCTGGAAGTTTCTCCTACATATACAGCGACACAGTCCCCACAATTGATCTGGTATACACATTTCTATTGGTTTTCTTCTTCTATTTTATCCTTAACCTTCACCAACGAAGAGCGTAAGGTGTTAGCTGTTCGAAAATACACTCTCATGTTATGATCGATGTTTCTTTGCAGTAAGGAATCACTGCTGTACTAACCCAATTCTTTGCAACAGGTTTCTATCCATCCTTCCTTATCTTCACATTTTAAATATCTCTTTATGAAAGCTTTAGGATAATTATTTGATTCAAGAGTGGATTGAACCAATTCTAGTTCCTTGCCAATCTCTTCCTTCTTCTCTGTTAATCAGTTTCTTGATCACAGTTACTTTGGTAGTAAAGGGGGGGTGCTGAATAGTAGTAGTCTAGGTATCTGTCCGAATTTGTCGGCTTTCTGAAAATGTCTATTTTAAATTTACCATTCGGACCAGATTGCCGAACGCTGGAAACGTTGGAATTATTCATTTCAATTTCGCTGAGATTTTACACATATAATTTTATAAATGTCTCCTTCTCACTCGGTGCTCAAATATTTTGCAATTATCCGGTCAAATCTTAATCACAGTTCATGTGAAAAATTTAATTAGTTATGGAATGTTATCTTTTGAATGACTTCTTAGGTTATGTGAAGAAGTGAAACTTTAAGCGCCAGGACAAATAACCTCGAACGCACCAATCACGTGATATCAAGGCTTTTTTCCGCTTGATTCAAGTGAAATGTCACCTTTTATGGAGTTATTTCAGAAATTTGGTGTAGACCAGGTTTTCCAGTACTGCTTAGATATATAGAATTGTTTGGAAAGGAGAGAATTTTGTTCCTGCAGACGTATCATGAGTGTAAAAAGGCTTCTGTAGATAGGTTGATGGATATGTTCACCGTTGTGGGTATTTGTTTGAGACAAGTTAGTTTGAGGGAAGGTGTAAGCTAATGATTGCACTATTTCGTGGGAACATTGTTTTGGTAGACCCCATTTATTATCACCTCAGATTTTTTAAATATTCTGAGTAAAACGGAAAATAGTCTCGTTTCAACCGTTCAGTGGGACCAGCACGTCAGAGAGATATTGTATCGTGGAAGATGAAGAGAGCTGCTATTTTATTGAATGGAGGCGTTATTGTACATATAAATGAAACAGTCCTAATACAGTGGGAATACATAGTGGTCGTGAAAAAGTATTATCACTCATCATCTATCGGGTACCAAACTAACTGTCAAAATCATTCAGGTACCGCATACACCAAACAGCAGAGGCTATCGTGATTCACCTGATATAACCGGTGCTCTGTATGCAGAAGAAACAGGTCCAACCACTGTTACTGCCTTGACCTGCTGTAAAGTTTGCAAATTCATAAATACCTTATTACAACCGCCCCTTTTGTTATGGCCCTCTATCCTGTATGCATAAATTCCCCTACGCATTGTAATTACACTTGCATTCACTAACTAATCTTTCATTTTCTTATTTAAACGTAATAGTTAACTTACACACTGACACACATAAAGCGCACGTAAATTTCAACCCTGAAAAACCCTTTTTGTCTATCCCCCATCCTTGACATGATCATTCATCCATCTGAAGTTTTTAAATCAATATGAATGAACATTCAAGTGTTGATTTTCAAGGATTTCGTTGGTTATAGGATTTCATCATGAGCTGACATTGTTTAGAGAACCATTGGAAAACCTGCAGGGAGTACTGGACAGCTGTTTCGTCCTAGTTTGGGTCGCGCTATGTCGTGAATTGGCAGAAGTTAGAATTCATGGCCATAGGATCGGATCCCAGTGACTTAATGGTCTACGAGCTAGCTCGCCTTGTAACCAGAGGGTCCTGGGTTCGAACCCAGTTGTGGCGCGTGTGTACTGATGAAGAGTCCCAAACTAGGATGAAACAGCTGTCCAGTACTTCCAGGTTTTCCAATGGTTCTCTAACCAATTTCAGCTCACGATGAAATCCTGTAACCAATATGAATGGAACTTAATATGAACATAACTCATGAGAATTTATTACTGTACATTCGTTGTCACTCATAACCATTTTCAATAGTTGGTTTGTAAGGATTAGATTTGTTTTTTGCAAGTTGATCACGAATTGATATCAGTTAGAGGACCATTAAAAACCACCAGGAGTGCTGCGAATCATTGGCAGTACGCACCCACCACAGGGTTTTGAACCCAGGTCCTTCCGGTTACAAAGAAAGCTAGCTCGTAGACCGTTCAGCCACTGGGACCGGATTCAGTGGCCAGCCCATGACATCTAACTTCTACCAATTCGTAATTTAGCTCGACCACCATCATAATCACTTACTTTCCAAGGCAAAGTTGAACTTTAAGCACCACCAACTACCAATCAGCGAATGACCTTGAAAGCACCAATCACATGAAGGAGGCACTTTTGTGTATGGAATACACATATTTATGAAAAAGATGTATAAAAACTGTAGAAAAGTGTTACAGAGGATACCTTCCTCTCTCATGTGATAAATGTAGCTCTCAGTTTTAGGTTGGAGTATCAACACAGAGTATAATTCCATTGCGAATAAAATTTATTTTGATGAAGTCTCATATAGTGTAACACAGTAATATTTATTGAGCAATAAACTGTGCTTGAAACGTGGTCATCAGTAAATGTTACTGTATAATATTGTGAGAATTTATCAAAATAGATTTACCCACAATGGAATTATACTTACTGCCACAGTGCACAAGTTCTATTCTTATATCAACAGAGTAATTTAACCACATTCTATGCATGTAATTATTTAGGTCTTCTAATAATTACAATGACCCTAATCTTTCCTGAACCTAACCCTAACGTGAAAATATGCCTAAACTAACTGTAATCTAACTTGAACTAGCGCTAATATCACCTTTAATAGGTTAACCTAACCCTAACTTGTCATTGGCCTAAACCGTAACTTAATCTTTCCCTAACCTAAGGTGAAACTTGCTGGAAATCCCATTTAATAGCATAACACTTCGATGAGGATATTTTATTGATGATGACAAATTTATATGCCAGGTTTTGGTAACTTGCTCAGTGGGCGCTTCAAGGTCATTGGTGCGGTCGCACTCCATTGGTAGTTAGTGGTGCTTAATGTTTAACTTATCCCTATAATCCGTTAAAGCAATCTAGTTGCAAATAACTTTTAGAATTCTGATCTAAATGATTCCATGTTAATCTCTTTTTAAAAACCACTAATGCTGTCAGTCAATAGCAATCATTCTTTCATTATTATGAATGGATAAATAACTGTAGAACCTGATGATGAAGTTATCGAAAAGAAGAATATTATTTGTTCAAGAATCAATCTTTTGAAACTTTGAAAGGGTATCTTTAATCCATTAAAATAAATTTTGGGCGATTCAATTGTACGGAGCCACTTTACGGAAAGGATTCATCAAAAGAATATCAGAGAAAAAGTCAAATCATTCAATACCCATTATGCCAATGGTTGGAGAAACGAGGAACTATAATACACACAGATGGATGGGAAGGAAATAACTGATTGTCTTTCCTGGGATATATATTCACCAGAGAGTAAACCACACTAGTGATTTTCTGGATCCTGTGCTTTATTCATCTATTAGCACATTGCTAATAATGGTGTAATCGCGTATTACAGGATTCATCGTGACGTGACATTACTTAGAGAACCCCTGAGAAACCCGACTGTACTGAATAGCTATATTGTCTTAAAATCAGACCTGCTAGCGGCACACGCCTACCGGGATTCAAACCCAGAACGCTTCAGTCACAAGGGGAGCTTGTAGGCTACTCAGCCACTAGGACGGAATGCAACGGCCCATGAATTTCAACTTATGCCAAAACCAGAAGGTTCTGGTTTCGAATCCTATTGGATGCGTAATTTTGAAGAGTCCTAAACTGAGACGAAACAACTTCCCAGTAATCCCTGATTTTCTATTGGCTCCCTAGCTGTTACCAACTCTTGATCAACCCTGAAACTTGTAATTATCTCGTTAAGCCTTTTGTTATTTTCTTCCTATGTTCGTAGGTCTCTCTGTCTGGTCATGTGTGATCACAGCAACAAAGTGTTTCTGCAACATAACAACAACATTAACTGAAATACACACAATGAAGAACTTACTTCTAATAATTTATTCATTGACTCAGGTAATTCTTCACCAAATTCTTTTAATAAAGCTACAGTCTCTCTTAATGGTTCAAAACCAGCATCTGTTGCCTCTTCAGCTTCACGTATTAACTTTAAGCGCTCTAGTATTGTGACTAATTTGTTATATTCCACTGATTCGATATCAGTTGTAGGAATTTCTAAATCTGCTTGACTATTCTTAACAAATTGTTGTAAATTCTCAAGAGTAGTTGTAACATGACTAAGAAGATATTGTTTAAATTTATCACTCCATTGTCTAATCACTGATAATAGGGATTGTTTAAATGGTTTCAAATTAGCCTTTAACCATGAATCAAATAATTTTGAATCATCTATCCGTTCAACTTCTTCAAAAACACGATCATATTTAATAATTTGTTCACGAAATTGATCTAGCGTTGGCGGATTTTCATGCGCTTCAATTTCCCCTGTGGGACCGATATCATCTTTAGTTAATAGACGACCATAACGACAAAATTGTTTAATAAATTCTGTACGATCTTCAGTCCAATAAAAGGAATAATTACTCTCCAGTTGTTGTTGATAATCCATTGCAGCGTACATAGCTGATCGTATATGATCAGTGATTGTTTTTATGAGATCAGTAACTTCTGGTGTCAACAGAACTTGTTGAGAGAATCCTGTGAGTGACTTGACTTTTTCATAGGAATCCATATCAGTTGCATCTTGTCCTGGCAGTGATGTTTTGTGTTTTACTTTTTGTTCAACTTCAGATTCTTGAACCGTTAATTTCTCCTCTGAAATTGGTGGCGCTGATGCTTGTGGTTCTGATTCCACTGCTGTTTCTGGTACTTCAGAAGGTTCTGTCGCCAACGGTGGTACAGTTTCAGAAGGAGCTGTTTCATTCACTGTTTCCATTGTTTGTGATGGTAGTCCACCTTCCACCTGACCTCCTGGTTGACTTGTTGTCGGTGTTGGTGAATTGCTTACAGTCGGAGTTATATCCTGAGGATTAATTAACGATGAGATTAAACGTGATTGGTCAGTGATGTCTTGTATTAAATTGTTGAATATTTCTAGAAGATTTACAGCCTGTGATTCTTGTACATCAGGGGAATAGGCAAGACGATCAACCTGGAAAATTCAACACAGAAGAAAATCAGTTAGATTTAATTCACACTTGAAAGTTAATCTAGTACTTACTAGTGACTTACGACAGGACGAAGTCGCTCGAAGTTCCAGTGTGAAACCGTGTGAGCTCAAATACTCGCCAGGGATGACACTGGCTACCAGTGGCTTTACAGATATCTCAAACTGAGAGAAGAGAGACCTGATGAACCATAAGATGCCTTCCAAGTCGATGAGTTTGGTAAACTATCGCATCTTCTCAGCTGAAGGTTCTGCGTTCGATTCTCACTCAGGTCACGGATGTGAAATACTGAAGAATCCCAAATGAGGGTGAAATAACTCTCCAACACTCCCCGATTTTATTGACTCATTATTACAGCTGCACACTGCACAACCCTGAAACAACTACTAACCATTTAAGCCAGTTTAAGGCTTTTATGACCGTCCCACAAATTTCACAGTTGATCGATATGAACGCAAGAAACCGATCTTTGCGTCCTACTGCATATCTGATCCAAACTTCCTTGAGACACATACAGTCACGAAACGCCTTAAACACAACAAAAGAATGGTCATTCGTCGTAAGATCTATGTGGTTCCCACTCAACAGTGATAAAATCAAATACTCAGAATTACCTCAAGAGTGCCCCATATAGGGTAGCTCGGTGTACACGTCTTTCTTAGGGGCGAGTTGGAGAGTGGGTCTTAGTGTTCTGACTACTTTATATCTTCTGATGAACTTATCTGGATAATTGTTATCAACCAGAGTTTGAGTCAACTTTCTTTCTTCTTCATCAAGTGTGTCTTCAGTGCATATTCCTAAGGCTCTTTTGTACCGAACAGGCCGGGTAGAAACTGTGGTAGTTAAGATACTGTCCTGTCCAGGTAGGTTTTCTATAAATAGATCTTTTTATTGACCCATCAAGCTGTCGACTAAGCAATATGTCTAGGAAAGATAAACAATTATCTTCCTCTTCTACAGATGTAAGTGATATGCTATTCTGAACTTCATTCATCCGATTTAAAATTGAGGTGGCAGAACAAGGCTTATCACTGATGACTACGATATCATCTACATACCTTCTATAAAGTGGCACATTTTCGATTAAATCCTCCAATAAATTCTCAATGTGCGACATAAAAATATTGCAATAAAAATATCTGCTAAAAGGGGCCTTAACGGACTGCCCATAGCAACACCATCAACTTGGCGGAAACAGTCGCCTTCAAATGTAAACCTAACATTGTTAGTACATAGAAGTAATAAATCGCTTAAATAAGATATAGGAAACAGGATGAAAAAGCTGTTTGTGGAAATGTAATCACACCAAAAATGTCAACTTTTTTGATCAAAGGCACATTAGTGAATAACGACAAATCAAGTCTTCTTATTCTTTGAATGTACGTGTGGACACACATACTAATGGAGGACTCCTCGATCTCTGCAAGTAAGGGATTCACAGCATATTCCTAAATGTCTCCAGAAGCAAATAGAAGCACCAAAACCCACTAATGGTACGAACAGGAGACCTAGTGCTTCTGTCGCGAAACATATTATAGAGACAGGACATAAAATTTTTTTTTTTTTTTTTTTTTTTTTTTTTTTTTTTTTTTTTTTTTTTTTTTTTTTTTTTTTTTTTTTTTTTTTTTTTTTTTTTTTTTTTTTTTTTTTTTTTTTTTTTTTAGCAACAATTCGTCATCACATTAAACCTTCCTTGGTTAATTTTGTTTTGACCCTAGCCAAGGTAGATGTGCTATTACCTCTCCTATTTGGTTTAGTGGTCTTCATTGTTATTTTGACCTTGAATATGTCCTTTTAACTTGACCTAAGTCTATTTTCTCACATCTTGATATGTCCATGTATGGAATCCGATTGTTCGGAATGTGTGTTACGCAAATACAACACTACACGATTCAGACAAATTGCGTCTTCTTATTGCATTATCTAAATTCATAAAGGGAACTAATTGTTTTAAATAATTACAAAGTTAGTTTTAAATTCTAAGATCACTAAGAAGGGATTTTCCTAACAATTACTCTCTTACACAGAACTTGCAACATGAGGCCACTTTGTGTTTTAAAGACACAACAGTCGCTCGATGTCAAACAATAATTACTATGAATCTTCGCCATGCATATCACAGACTAGACAGCTTTTTTTTAAATATTTACCGGTTAGGAAAGACGAGGAAGGAGACATTTTTTAAGAGAGAGAATCTTTAGTCATCTCAATCCTGTTTGACAGTTACCTGTGCTGCTATTTGATCTGAAATCACATTCGTATTATTCCTGGAATTTTGAGTTAGATATCTAGTTAGCATGATGCAATACAGAATTGAATTAACTCAGTCAACAAATTTCTCTAATCTCACCATTTGACTCCTTTCTTTGACTGAGGACTTTACTAAGCTAGAAACTATGTGGTTTTCTATCATTTCAATGTTAGCTTATGTTCACTTACTCTAGAAGCGGAGATATAAGAGTAGAGTAAATACAGGAATAAAACAAGGCTACCTATTGTTACCAGCAATATTCTTCTTAACTGTGGTGGACTGGGTTATGCATCATACTGGAGGGAGGGGGGAAGTGAGGAGACGGAAGTATCATGGACAGACCAAAAAAAGACTCTAGAAGATCTGGATTTTGCAGATGATTTATGCCTAATGTCACACAAACTGGAAGACCTGCAAGCAAAAACCAACAAACTAGCTGAAGAAGTAGTTAGCGAAGACAGGACAGATTACAGGTTAGCATAGAGAAGTTGCTTTCGCTCAATACCACTCAAGATCAGATGGCTGGCCAGAAAAGATCAGAAACAGGGATCTCTGGCATTGAGCGAACCAACACAGCAGGAACCGATTGTGAAACAAATAGGCAGGAATAAATGGTGATGGATTAGCCATACGCTGAGGAAACCATCAATTGACATCACTAGACAAGTCATCGCTCGAGTGGAACCCGAAAGGGAAGCGACGAGTTGATCGTCAGTGTGAGGGTGACTTGGAGGAGGTCATGTGAAGAGGAGATGAGAGCATGTGGGCAGACGTGGAGCGGAGTGAAAAAGTTGGCAGAAAACAGAAGGCAATGGAGGTGATGAAGATAACCAGCTAACCAACCAACAGCAACAACAACCAGCAGCAATCACCATCAACGGGAGAGATTCGACAGAGGTTACCTCGTTCACTTATCTAGGAAGCATGGTTTCAACCATAGCTGGCGGAGCAGACGACGATTTCAAAGCCAGCCAGCCAGCCAGAATCGTAAAGGCAAGATACGCCTTCGTCAACCTGAAACTACTTTGGAAATCTTCTTCACTCTGCCTCAGCATAAAGAACTAGATACATATTTTCAAGACAGATGTAAAGTCAGTCAGTCAGTCAGTTCTTCTATATGGATGAGAAACTTGCACTGCATGTGAGTCACGAAAAGCATTTCCAGCAAGTTACAGACATAGCTGCCTCAGCTGGCCACATATTGAATATCATTTTTTTGCCAGAATAAAATTAGCAAACAAGAAACTACGGGAACAAACCAACCAAGAATCCACTCTGGTCAAGTATTATTCCGAAGGAAACGGAGATGGATTCAGCACACACTAAGGGGACCATTGAATGACATCGCACGCCATGGTGATCATTCGAGTGGAACCCGGATGGGAACCGAAGAGTGGGGCATCCGAGTGTAACGTTGTGGAGATCATGTGAGTTGGTGGAGATGAGAGATTATGAGCGATCATGAGCCCAGCTAAAAGGGACAACAGAAAATTGAACAAAGTGGAGATGGGTTGTTGAAGCCGTATGTTCCACTGGGAACCCAAGGGAACAACAAAGGTACAGTTGTGGTAGAGTATAACCCTATTGGGGAATCATTTTAACATTGAAGTAATAATAACCTGTACACCAATAACATGTGCGTCGGCAGTCCAGCTTGCCAACCGCGCATGCGGTCACGGTTCGACTCCCGGCCAAGGCAGACTCTTGAACCCGGCTTAGTTAGTAGTAGGACCATACTAGAGGGAAGATTGGGCTTCAGGTTACTATTTACCCTAAAATTCCTGTAAATGAACAGAATGTTACGCGTGGTTTGGAAGAAGTTTTATTCATGTTAACATTCATCTGCATATTGCAACTAGAGAATTTCGAGTTCACTCACAGGTTGTCACACGTACTCATATCTCTGTAATTCAGTCTTTGCCAAAGTTAGAGACATAATCAAACGTTTTGGGAAATGTAACTTGGGACTGATTTCTTCCTATCCAGATACATCGTAAGACGTTAGTCAGTTCAGAACACACACTTAGAAACTAATTAACAAATTGTAGCAAATGATTCACAGAAAGCAGTCTTCAGTATTGTACGTCATTGGTTCAATAGTAGAATTGTGTTCCACTACACAGGTGGCCCGGATTCGACTCACAAGCGACACAATCCTAAACTTTGCTTAGCCAATAGTAAATACAATCATGGGTTTGAATCCAAGTGAGTGCATACTGACGACAAGTTCCAAAGTGGAACAAAACTGTTGTCCAGTACTCACAGCTTATTTTCCATAGCTCTCTAACTTACACAGATCTATCATCAAACGATAAAAAGAGGTTGTGCCTGATACTAGCAACCCCATCCCGCAAAAAGGCATAATCGCTACTGAAACCTAAAAGCTCAAACTTGAAACCTTATTTCCTTATAGGAAAGCCTCCAGTGTCGTTAACAGTATTAAAAGATACTGGTACAAAATTGTTAATTGTTGAGAATATCAAAAATAAATTCTGTGGAAAAGAAACAGTTAAACAGTCTCAGACGAAAATCCCCCATCAAAATGCAGCGGAATGCTGAATGGAATTCACACATAGCAAATCGACTCCCTGTATTATCAATTCTTCTTCCAAGTAGCTAGTCAGAATTCGCTTGTACTGAGCGAATTCGACCCTGTGAGCTGATAAACCCAGAGTATAACGAGCAAAATGACCATCTGATGTGGTTAGCCAGAAAAACACTACTCGTTAATTTCAGTGAGTGTCATTCAACTACTTATATCACACAATCAGTAGTATATAGTACCATAAATAAATGTATGTAACTTACTGCTAAATCTAATTTTGTCTCCATAATTGGTAATTCCACTTTCATTTTTTCTGTATGCGTTGATAAATACATCAGGCTACAACAGACTGTATCAATCAAGCCTTCAATAATGACATATTCAGCTGATTCCAAATATGCATTCCAATCAGGACTTGATGGATTTGCACGGTATAATTCTTGATTTCGCTAAAAAAAAGAAAAGTAACATTTAAATAAAAGAATACATGAAATAATGGCGGATTTCATTATCGACCCGGGGGGGGGGAGTTAGGCAACTATTTAAAAATGACAACAATAATGACAATTTTCAACTCCAGAGCTTGGAATGGCAGTCAGCTATCTATCTAAACCTCATCGACTTTGAAAAGTCCTTCAGCAGACAGCGTCGATCGAGAGGTGATTCGGAAACTACCTCGCTATTACAGGGTGCCACTAACAATTATACATCTCATCCAGCAGTTGTACGACAACGCTGCATGCCAAGTAATCCACAACAAGAAACTTACGGAATCCTTCGAAGAAGTGAAGACGGGAGTAAGACGAGCTGGCTGCCCACTACTATCTCCAATGATTTTTCTGATTGCGGTAAACTGGATAATGCGACAGACAGCGGGTAATGAGGAAACAGGCATAAAATGGACTCGCACAAAAAACTTGGAGGATTCGGACTTCGCCGATGATATATGTCTGATTTCCCACAAACTGGAAGATATGCAAGTGGAAAGCAACAAATTGGGGATAAAAGAAGCATACAGAGAAGATGGGACTTCAGGTGAACATAGAGAAAAAAGAGGTGACGAAGATTCCTGGCCAACACCAACAGCAGCAACAACGACAACAGACAACAATCAGCCAGCATGAATGGGAGGAATTTGAAAGAAACAACCTCCTTTACCTACTCACCTGGGAGGCATCGTTTCAACTACAGACGGACGGAACTGACGAGGATATCAAAGTGAGGATCGGGAAGGCAAGGAATGACTTCATTTCTCTCAAGTCTGTGTGGAGGAGATCAACAGCACTCAGCATAAAAAGCAAAATCCGGATTTTCAACTCCACTATGAAGTCAGTGCTACTTACTATATGGATCATAGGCTTGGCGAGTCACGAAGGGCACGTCGAACAAACTAGAGACCTTCATCAACATCTGCCTTCGCTCAATACTCAAGATGAGATGGCAAGCCAGAAACGATGAGCGACAGGGATCTCTGGGAGAGAACCAACCCGGAAGTGATTGTGCAACAAATATGCAGGAAGAAATGGAGGTAGATTGGTGGTCATACTCTAAGAAAACTATCAAGTGCTGTCACTGGACAAGCTGTCGGGTGGAACCCGAATGAGAAGCGACGAGTTGGTGGTCAGTGCGAGGGTGACACGGAGGAGGTCATGTGAAGAGTAAGTGAAAGCATGCGGGCAGATGTGGAGCCAGGTGGAAACGTTGTTAGAGAACCGAACGTAATGGAGACGCGCGGCTGAAGCCGTATGTCCCTCTAGGAATTAAAGGAATTTATAATAATGCTTTATTTCCAAACAGTACTCATGTGATACAAATAGGAAAGGATAAAAGAGTCAATCATTTTGCTAATAGCATAGTGAATTGTAGGTTTCCCGCTTAACGTTACCCCTATATCTCACAGTATGCTGACCGAATAGGGTATCGTTGAGTATCTTTTTATTTAGTTGTACGAGTGAGCAAATAATCTTAAATAATGACTTCTAGGGTTCTATCTGATAAGACGTAAGGCAGGGAAAGTTACGAATAGAAACGATGTTGAGAGTTAGACAATATGGATTTCGACTATTTCTCGCAGTAGTAACTAGCTGACTAAATGGTATACCATTAGCCCTACTGACAACCTTTAATACTCTTCCCAGTATGACAATAGCCTTTCTTGAGTTGACCAGGAATGACTAACAGAGAGCGGTAAAATACAATAGGTAAGATGCAAGAATCAATAAATTTTAGAAGTGAGACGGGGGGGTTGAATGATTCCTGATTGTTTTAACTTCTTAATGCAGAAGGTGGTTAGATAGAAGATTTTTTAAGAAATCAAAAAGATATAGGACGATCGATCAGGAAAGGTGAGAGGATAGAACCAATCCTACTTCGGAAATCTTTAGTAATAAACAACCTTGATCCAAAAATACCAGTTATTCTATCGATCTTCCCCAGCATTCGCATGTTTTAGTAACTCTAATCAATCTCTTATTCATATACAGTAATCAAACATTTGATCTGAAGTTTGTCAAATCAATCTAACCTTCATTGATCAATTGGTTTATCTGTGTGGATTGAAGCACATGGTAGACAATTGGATTTTCAAAGAACGAGAGCTCAGCTGAAGTATTGTGGTGTGGTGTGATTATGTATCTCTATAATCTCTTCATATCATCAATAATAGATATACCCTTAGGCAGCCGGAAGTGTTATACTCTCCTTTCAATAGTTGAGACGATGTCGAGAACAGCCTGGCCACGAAGTTAGGTTTGACAGGCTAAAGAATCAACAGATAGTGTGGTTAAAGTTCAGGTCTAGCAGGCTGATTAAGTCACTGGGCTACCGGAACTTCTATTCATTAAAATGCTGTTTAAACTCTTTTGCATTTCTTATTGTTTCAACCATACAGTTATGTCAAATAACCACCAGATAAAGGCAACTAAACGCTATGGAATTCTTCAACAAAATGAAGAAAACACTTACAGTTCTTAGTGAGCTCCTTTTTACTAACTAAAATAATTTGGTTATTGAATTGAATTCTTGATTTTCCCGTTGATTGATTGGACCGAAGCGCTCCGTCTCAGGTTGACATGTCGACTTCTTGTGCAGATGCTTCGACGATGTCCGGGCATTTAGTTAGGATACAATTGTTGGATGGTGGCTAGCAGTGGAATCCAAGATGCGCATTTCGTCCTATTTGGGACTCGTCAGCTGGATGTACCTGCATTTCTCAGTGAGTGATGATGTTCCCACCGAGGCTCGAACACAGTACCCATAGTTTCAAACGCCAAAGCGTTATCCACTAGACCACTTGGGCCACGAGAGCCACCTCTTGTGCAACGGGTCAAATTAATTATTGAATTGAATTCTTGATTTTCCCGTCAACCTGAGACCGAGCACTTCGGTCCAATCAATCGACGGGAAATCAAGAATTCAATTCAATAATTAATTTGACCCGTTGCACAAGAGGTGGCTCTCGTGGCCCAAGTGGTCTAGTGGATAACACTTTGGCGTTTGAAACTATGGGTACTGTGTTCGAGCCTCGGTGGGAACATCATCACTCACTGAGAAATGCAGGTACATCCAGCTGACGAGTCCCAAATAGGACGAAATGCGCATCTTGGATTCCACTGCTAGCCACCATCCACCAATTGTATACTAAAATAATTTGGATTGTTTTACAAATTAAGGAGAATGTCTAAATTAAATAGGAATATTAGGCCGACAATATGACAATAAGAAGACGTGGACATCGTGGCTAATTTATGTCCAATGTCATGGAAACTCTAAAACTAACAGTTTAACACAAAAGCTTGTGAAGAAATAATTTCGAGTGAAAATACATGGAAAAGAGAGATGATGAAGACATCTTACTGACAACAAGAACAAGCACCAGTCAACTCCTGAAATCTAAAGAGAGTCATCTCTTCCTCCTACTTAGTGAGAATTGTCTCAACTATAGGCTGCACAGGTAATGATGTCAAAGTTAGGATCAACTGAGCAAGACAAGATTTCATAACTCCGAAATCAATATCGAAATGTACTACATTCAGTGTAGGAGAAAAGGGCAGAGTTAAACTTTAAGCACCACTAACTACCAATCAGCGGTGGTTGTGTTCTCTGAGTTGGATAGTTAATTTCCTAAGCTTTGATCGCCCCTTACTAGGCGACATCTTCAGCGGATACTTCTATTTGAATTGAAGTGAGCTTCTGGATTTCTCCACGAGTTTATTAGTCAGTCATCTCTCCTGGTGGGTGACCTTAAACGTGACTCTCCGGACGTTTTTGTGTGTTTTCACACTTTGGTCTAGGTTACTTGTATTGGAACTGATTGTTGCTTTGACTTGAACTTTGACCCTTTGTGTGTGAGTGTGTGTGAGGTTTCTTTCTTATCGGTTGATAAATTTTGTCTATCTCGATGTGTCTATTGATTGGTGATTCACTTGAATACCAGGCTGGCTTCTAAGAATTCTCTAGCATTCCTGTTGTTTCCTCTGTCTAATATTTGAACGTTGGTTGTCCCAGTCGAATTGATGTCCATGGTTGTCTGTGTGTAGTGAGTTATATGAGGGAGTGGATATGATGTCTTTTGACGGCTAGCTTATGTTCGTGGATACACAGACGAAGGGGACGTCCACTTTGGCTAATGTAGTGTTTTTCGCAGTTGTTACAATTTATTTTGTAGATGACACTGGTTTTATCTTCTTTCGCTGTTGAGTCTTTTGGTTAACATAGAATTGAGTGAAGTGATTTTGTTGGTTTGTGTACTACGTCAATTCCTCGTCAAGGTTTGAAGAGTCTTGTAGTGATTTCTGAGATATCCTGTATATATGGTAAGGCGATTTTCTGTGTCATTTCTCTGAGAATTCTTAGAAGTTTGGCATTCCATTGAATCATCAATCAATAGACACATTGAGATAGACAAAATTTATCAACCGATAAGAAAGAAACCTCACACACACTCACACACAAAGGGTCAAAGTTCAAGTCAAAGCAACAATCAGTTCCAATACAAGTAACCTAGACCAAAGTGTGAAAACACACAAAAACGTCCGGAGAGTCACGTTTAAGGTCACCCACCAGGAGAGATGACTGACTAATAAACTCGTGGAGAAATCCAGAAGCTCACTTCAATTCAAATAGAAGTATCCGCTGAAGATGTCGCCTAGTAAGGGGCGATCAAAGCTTAGGAAATTAACTATCCAGCTCAGAGTACACAACCACATCAATATATATATATATAGTATCATGTTACCTACCTTAATTAATTCATGTATTTTCTTACCAACCACATCAACTTCTTTAAATCTAGCATTTCTTATAGTAATACGATCTTCCAAGGGGAGATAACAATCGTATTTACGTTCTTTTCCTTGAAATAGGGGTATTTTACGCCATTGTGACATTAGCTGTTCAATATTTTTGAAATTCTCCTCTGCTTCTATCACTCTTGATTGAAGTGCACTAATTATATTCAAGGAGTTATCAATAAATTCTGTATTCACTATATTATTATAAAATCATAGAAAGGGGAAAATAATAATGATGATGATGATAATGGCAAGGAAATCAATAAAGATAGAGGGATTATTTTTGGGTAATAGGCAAAAAATCATAAAAGACTATTCTGACGATCAGACAGATAGCCGACAGGAAAGGATTAACCATATTTGGCCTGTACAAAAAAACTGACTGACAACCTGTCACCCAGTGAAAATGAAAAAGGAAATCAAGACGAACCGGACGAACCAGTTGAATAGAGAACATTGCCTGATGAACTTTTTTTAATTATGCGGACGATCTAACTATTTCAATGTTTGTTAACTGCAAGCTAGACTCTACTAAGATGAACAGCTTTCTATCAGGAGTCAGCAAATGGTCTTCTTCTTCTAATGGCCTTAAACTAAATCCTTCCAAAAGTCAGACTGTTAATTTCAATTTCCGATGTAAACGAAAGTTAAATGAAGCTGTTGGTTCCTATGACCCTTGCAGAATTGATGATAATGATACAGAAATCAAGCCTGAAGTTAAGTATCTTGGATTATTTCTTTATACTGACCTATCCTGGTCTCCCCATGTCTTAGCGATTTCTAAAAGAATATTTCGTCTGACTTTTTACATTAAGAAGTTGAGGCACTCGGCTATAACTCAAGCCCTCCTCTTACAGTTCGTCAAATCGTGCATCTTACCTATTCGTCTTTACTGATCACCCTTACTTATTCTTTCTTGGATTGCGTAAAAAAAGACTATGTCATACTTCATAGAACTCTGAAGACTGACTGTCAGTAGGGCGAGCGGTATCCCATTGGGCCATATCGTTGACACTGTCATTGATGATAGGCACTTGATGTCATGCAACAAATTTGCTAAAGGAATTTTGTCAGACTGTAAGCATCCACCACAGCACCCGCAGCTCCAACCCTGTGTCTCCTCTTCAGGTAAAACAAGAAGTCTTTTTAGAAGACTTTATCCACGTACGTCCAAGTATAAAAATTCCACTATACCATATTTAGCACGTACTTTATGCGATGAAAATAGTGTCAGGCATGAACCAACTAACCTTCTTTGCACTACTAAATAAACCATTTCCTCCACCCTTACAACATCAAACTGTATTGTTATTGTATTTCTTATATTTATAATCCTATCAATTTTTTTTCATAAGTGTGAACATAGGTTAAGCTAGTTATAACTGCTAATTTTGAATTTCCTTCACTATACTATATCAACAGAACATTAGATCCAATAATAATGATAAAGTTTCCAAACTGAACCCACAATACTGTTTGAAACAAACTCGCTGTTATTATTATTATTATATTCAATGATCTCAATTCATGCTTAGAATATTTTTGAGTTTAGATCGTAAGCGTGGACGAATTCCTCTGGTTACTTTTGTTTAATTTTTAGTTTTATTTATATTTTGAGTAAATCAGATGCAAGGTGTTGTGACAAAGGCTGAGAATTCCATTCTGTATTATAAGTACTGATTTTGGAATAAAGTAGATTATTATTATTAAAAAAAAGTCTCGTGGTCTGAAGTGGCCTCTCAGTTTCTTGTTTTTATTTGTTTATTTTTTCATAAGTGTGATATGTATCCACATATATATTTATGTATGTGTGTATGTTGGTCTCTCTTTCTGTTTGCTCGGTTAGTCTGTGACCACTTCACTTGTATGAACTTGTCTCCTTTAATAATGTGTATTCTCCTTATATTATATTATATATAATATGAGTGTTTGTTGACAGTCCGTTGCTTGGTGACATATATCCATATATGTTTGTTGGCATATCTGCTATATTCGCTATGTATAATTGGATCGACACTCCATTATAATTAGCCATTCATGTTAAGACTGTCTAATGATTTTTCCCACGCTTGTCTGAATTATTTATATATATTCGCATTCACAATTTGTGTGAACTACTTTACTTTACAACTACTTTACTTACTTACCACTTTGGTGTGAGACCATTTATTTTCGTCTCCTTGTGTTTGGACAATAGAAGTATCATCGCAAACCTAGTGGTCTTCTGATTTCCACCTTCTCGCGTCAGGACTATTAATTTCTCGACCAGTCCATAACAATAATTTAGCGACGAGTACATAACAATTTGGCGACGGGGAAAACTACTATTAACCACTCAGCAGCAGCAACATAACAATTTATTATGGATCATTCTAAATTGGTATTACTATTTGAACAACAAATGAAATTAATGGAAATGTTCGTCAACCAACAGACTGGTCCAGCTTCACCTTCAAGCAATCCCAATCATACCATGCTACTATCTGTCGACGGCATTGTGAACAGTATTTCACAGTTCAATTATGACCCAGAGGCTAATGTCACTTTTGACACATGGTATCAACGTTATGACGATTTATTCACTGTTGATCTCGCCTCACAAGACGATGCCTGGAAGGTGCGAGTGCTGTTACGTAAATTGGGTCCGGCAGAATATGAACGGTACTGCAACCTAATTTTACCGCAGAAACCACGTGACAAGAGTTTCGATGATACAATAAAGCTGCTGCGTGAACATTTTGGAGACCACTCTTCATTATTCAGTATACGTTATCGTTGCCTCAAGCTGGCAATGAATGAAAATGATGATTTTCTTACTCACGTTGGCACAGTCAACCGAGAATGTGAGAGATTTCGACTCAGGTCCTTAACAGATGATCAATTCAAAGCCTTGATTCTCATATGCAGTCTCAAATCTCCTCGTTTCACAGATATCCGAACTCGACTGCTCAATCAGCTAGAACAAAATCCCAAGTTAACATTACATGACATAGCTGATGAATATCAACGGCTGATTAATCTGCAGAAAGACACACACCTGGTCGAATCAACACCTCCGAGAAGCTCTGATATTCGTGCATTACGAAAGAGCAAAAATCTCTCATCATCCAGTCCTGACCCACCTACTTCTCTTAATGTCCCGCGGAAATCTATACATACTCGTCCAACTTCACAAAATACGACAAAGAAGACCCCTCCATCACCATGCTGGCACTGTGGCGCGTGGCACTTTGTAAAGTCTTGTCCATACAAAAATCATCGTTGCAGCAAGTGCAAGATCATCGGTCATAAAAATGGTTTTTGTCAGCCACGCAAACCCAGATGTCATAATCCAGCGAAAACTCAACAAAATGTTGGTCCTAAATCCCCCAAAAAGTCATTGAGTCTACGCGCAACCCGTCAAGTCACAACGCCAGGTATGCGGAAATATCTTGATCTTCAGATGAACGGTCATGATGCACGTCTGCAGCTAGATACCGCCTCTGATACTACTGTTATATCAGAGAAACTTTGGAATTATATTGGCAGACCACCTATCACCAATACTTCCCAGTCTCTTGTCAGCGCCTGTGGTGGGCGCCTCAAACTAATTGGTGAACTGAAATGTTCCGTTTCCTTCCGCAATACCAAATTCACAGGAATTTGCTACGTCACCAAGGGTGATTTAAATGTTTTGGGACTTGATTGGTTCGATCGTTTGCATCTGGCTGATGTCCCACTAAATTCGCTACTCAATGCAGTCAAGAAGCATAAAATGCCAGACAATTCCGGACGAAGCCGAAGCCGCAAACCCAACATGCAGACGAAACGACAGACGTCAACAACAAGCCCAAAGGTCCCAGATAAACCCCCAGGTAAACATCCTACTAATCATCCATCTTCTCAAAAGGGGAGGTGATATGTATCCACATATATATTTATGTGTGTGTGTATGTTGGTCTCTCTTTCTGTTTGCTCGGTTAGTCTGTGACCACTTCACTTGTATGAACTTGTCTCCTTTAATAATGTGTATTCTCCTTATATTATATTATATATAATATGAGTGTTTGTTGACAGTCCGTTGCTTGGTGACATATATCCATATATGTTTGTTGGCATATCTGCTATATTCGCTATGTATAATTGGATCGACACTCCATTATAATTAGCCATTCATGTTAAGACTGTCTAATGATTGTTCACACCCTTGTCTGAACATTCATATATATATATTTTGCATTCACAATATTGTGTGACTTACTTTGGTGTGATACCACTTTTGCATTCTCCTTGTGTTTGGAAAATAGAAGTATCATCGCAAACCTAGTGGTCTTCTGATTTCCACCTTCTCGCGTCAGGACTATTAATTTCTCGACCAGTCCATAACAATAATTTAGCGACGAGTACATAACAAAGTGTGAACATCATTTAAGCTGTGTTAATAACTGTTCATTTTGCCTTTCCCCTCAGCATACTATATCAACAGAACATCCGATTCAATAATCTGTAACCTGCTAAAGTTTCCAAACTGAATCGGCAATACTGTTTGAAACAAACTCACTGTTATTATTATTATTATTATTATTATTATTATTATTATTATTATTAATATTTAATGGTCGCAATTTGTGCTTCGAATATTTTTGACCTTATATCGTAAATGTGGACAAATTCCTCTGGTTACTTTTGTTTTAATTTTTAATTTTATTTATATTTTAAGTAAATCAGATGCAAGGTGTTGTGACGAGTGCTGAGAATTCCATTCTGTATTATAAGTGCTGTCTGTTTTGGAATAAAGTAAATTATTATTATATTACCAACTAGGTCAGCCCTCGAATGGAACTCAAATGGGAAGCGATGAGTTGGGTACGCGTCAGAAAGTGATGTGGAATAGATCACTTGAGAAAGAAGAGAAAGGAGGGCTTATGTGTTGGTATCTCATGGATTTCCATATTTGAAATTGTTACTGGGGTCACTAGATTCTATTGATATAAGAATAAAACTTGTGCACTGTGGTAGAGTATAATGATATCAAGGTGATATGATTATGAGCAAATAAATTGTGCTCGAAACGTGGTCATCAGTAAACATTACTGTATAACACTGTGAGACTTTATCAAAACAAAAATTTACCCATAATGGAATCACTAAATTCTAGCCCATTAATGTATCTGTCCCCTAGTCTAACTGTAATATATTCTCTGCACTGGTAAAGTGTCAATGTTTTCAATGTTCCAACAAACGGATGTTACTTCTCGGCGAATTCCACATCAGGGTATATCAGTTTTCAAACTTACCAACTGCATAAAGAATCGTTAATTACTGCAAGCATCTCACTGGACTCTAGTTAGTAACTAGAGTAACCTGTCTAGTTCTTTGTTTGGTACAGACTGAATTTTGTCATCAGTCAAGTTTCCTATGTAAACCAACCAACTATGATAGGTGGCTCGCTGTTATCGTGCACTTTGAATTGTTGGTATTAAATGGTTGGATGCAATCGGCAGGAAGCTTTGGACCTAGGCTTTTTTCTGGTTGGCATTCATCAGTCAGCAAGGTGTGACCATATTGCAAATCTAACAAATATAATTCAGTCTGCATTAATCAAAGGAGCAGATAGATAACACCAGCTACTAACTAGAATTCAATCATAAACTTGAAGCAATTGATGATTCTTCATGCAGTCGTAACTTGTTTCAACTAAGCCTAACATCTATTCTAGGACCTCTGTTGGCCGACTGTTTTATGATCAGCCTAGTAAGGTCCTTCTTATCACCAACAATCGAAGAGAATCAAGATATTGGAAACCTACTCCATACCAGCAATAATACCCATTCAAACATCGACATTACTCTATAAGTTAAATCTAACTCAATGTTCCATTTCCTCGATGTTCAACTGAAAAGAAATGCTGATGACTCTCTGAGTAGATCCGTATACCAAAAGCCCACACTGAATTGACAGTTTATCAATTTTAGAGTTGTATTTCTCTGAGCAGAATGAGAACCCTCATCTATTCTCTCTCCTCGAGGATCCGAAAAGTATGCATCATGGAATCTATTGACTGAGAACTGAGAAATTTCCGAGGAAGCTTGATAGGAAATAGTTTTCCATCTTCAGATATATAGATAAGGATCTGAAATCAAAGAAAGCGTCTGATAAGTTCTAAGCCAATCCCAAAAAGATGCTGTTGATTAACCTCGGATTTAAAAGTGACACTGAGGCAGAAATTCTCCACAAACCGATTTCGAAACCTCTCAGTGAAACTTACTTCGCCAACAGCCTACGACTGGCATTTTCTTGAATGAAAATATTCCCTCAGCAAGTGAAAGGCAAGTTGTCCTATTAGGCCACTTTAACATGCCTATACCAGTCCACTTGTTATTGTGGAAGTGAGTACATTGATTGGTTTTACTATGTGTCCGCTTGTAAAAGTACTCGGAACGCAAGTGTGTACATAGTTCTGTAACTGAACATCTGATAAACCCAAGGCATTCAGCCCTATATGAGTAATCCTTCAAAGCCAGGATCCGATCAAACCACTCAACGGAAGTGAAGTCAAGGCATCTGACTGAGCATAGCTGAGGCACTAGCAATCCAGAAGTTCAAGACTACGCTATGTATACAAAAGAAATACGTCCAAATTTTGCCTCTACTATGGCTAACATATGCAGTTAGTTCCCCGAATATCGATTATCTTGTAACCTCTCTTATCCAATCTTGCTGTTTATTTCTGTTATTTCTACGACTTTTAATTCCTATTTGTACTACTATACTTTTATCTGAACTTCCCATCTTATTTGTTTTAACTACGTTTTTAACCCCTTTTCGCTACCCTATTATTAATAATAATAATAATTTACTTTACTCCAAAGCAGTACTTGTGATACAGAATGGAATTCTCAGCATTTTGCCACAATATTGCATCCAGTTAGTACATTAACAATAAATAAAATTCTACATAGATTATGGGTAATCTCAGTTAGTTTTGACAACAACATATCGGTAGCATGTCGGTAGCAAAGCCAAAATTGAACAAAGTGTTTGAAGGTGTTAGAAAAGTAGATACTACTAGCATATTTACTGGCGTAAGCAATAGCAAAATGGTCGAGGTATACAGAACGAAGAAGAATATTGTTAAAATAGACTTTGTAAGGAAGAGAGAAACAGAAATATTTGTGGAAATTTCTCACCCATTTACTATAAATACACAAACGTACACAGGATTTCACCATGAGCCGACATCAGTTAGGATGCGGACTGATGAAGAGTTCCAAAGTAGGACGAAACAGCTGTCCAGTACTCCCAGGTTTTCCAGTGGTTCTCTAACTGATTTCGACTCATGGTGAAATCCTCCATACAATCAAACAAAGTCCCTACAATACCAATACTTGAAAATGTACAACCTAGTTGGTGACTTCGTCGAAGGGAGAATTTTCATCACTGCAACTGTTTATGGTTCATAATCATATCAAGGTACTCACATGACTTCCTAACTTCATTTATATAGTTCCATCACTTTTCACTTGAATTTCGCTTGATTTGGTTGGTAGTAATATTTTCCATATTTCAGGTATGAGTCATGTGCTCGATACGTCATCAGTAAACATTACTGTATAACACTGTGAGACTTTATTAAAACAAAATTTACCCATAATGGAATTACACTCTACCACAGTGCACAAGTTTTATTCTTATATCAATGTTTATGGGTTTTCTTTTAATTTTCTTTTTTTTTCCTTCACGTTCTCAGTGGAATTTTCCACATAGGGCTCCAAGCTAGAGGCTTGAAGTTTCTGTAGCAGTGATTCTAATTTTTACAGGATGGGGTTGCTAGCTTCATGCCCAACCTGTCCTCTTTACCAGCATTATCTCTGGCTTAGCGAGGTAAAGGAGTGCGTCTGTGGCTGGGGATCGAACCCCGGACCATGTGCATGGTCGGCGAGCGTCCTAACCGCTATGCCACCGACGCATGATATAACATATTTATTCCAGTTTATTCGATTCCCAGTGGACACACTGGTAAAAGTCGCCTAGCCAGTAATAACTCCTGAAAAGAGGAAATTTTATTTGCGATCCAGACTAGGCTACTCCTCTCTTCATAAAAACAATATCGCCGCATGTTTGAAACTTCAGTGTATGAAATGTGAAGTCCTATGTCCACCCCCCCCCATCCAGAAAGCAGAGAATCGAGAGAGAAACTAAAACGCTTAACTTACCATTCTCCCATGTCATTGTGCTCAATGCTGGTGACAATGTTTCATTGAATGTGTCCACTTCATCTGAGATTAAAGCATATTCAACCGGTGTTGTCTGTTGTTTAATTGAATTATAAGCATATTGTATTTGAGCTAACTTAAGCCTAGATTCCCGCAGAGATTCAGTTTTTTCATACATTTCTAATGTTGAATGAGGTAGACGGCTTTTTAACTTTTCGGGTAATTCGTAAACGATACTTTCAGGGGATATTTCGCCACATTTCGATTCACCGCTAAGCATTAGAAAGTAGTGGACTTCTCGTAAGACTTCAACTAATTGATTATCAAAGTTAACCTCGATTAGCAGTGAATTATTTGGATCACGACGTAATAAGGGTAATTTTAAATTGATATTACATTTCTCTGGAGCTGATTGACAAAATTCTTCTAAATGTTTATTTCGAAAACTGTTATGTATATATTGGACAAAAAACAAAAAAAATAAAGAATAAAACGTGAAGTATTCATTGCAATATGAAATCACTAAACTAATTAGATTTTATTTTGAGTCCGTCTTAGTTCCGATTGGAATATAGGGCTTTAACAGCACATTCCATACTTCATCCTATTCCCTGCCACCACCATTTTGAGTTGTTTCCACAACTCCACATAAGTTCTTATCTCTTCCATGTCAACCTCGGGCCCACTTCCTTTGGATTCCACTCTATGGACTGTAGTTTGATGTCGGTCAGTGGTCTTTTGCCGTGTATATGACTCATCCCCATTTTCCTAAGCATACTTATTGGACGAAAGATTCTTGGCCAATTGTTTTTGGCCTTCCATTTGATATTTATTTTAGAGTGTTCGTTGGTTAGTTGGAAGAAGTCGATAGGAAGTCCTATCTGATCCAGTTTAGTGCTTGCAAGCTTGTTGTTTTAACTGTTATGACGTCACAATAAGATTGAGATTGAACTAGCGATGCCGAGTTGGATACAGAGGCGCTTGACCAACTTAGCATTATTACACGACAATTGCCTATTTTCCAGTGCACTCTGCGTAAACAGGAACATGCAAGGATGTGGGGGTGGAAAGTATATTTCAGTATCAGTCACAACGTATTTTACACAATAATGCATGATTTATAATATCACCAATGATATGTCATTTAGTCTACAGTCATGGTAAGTAAGACAGTGGGTGTTATTTTAAGAGAGGTCAATTCTGATTGGCTTACTTTCAGACTGACCTTGATCACCATATCGCCAACAGGGCGAATATTTGTTTATTCGTCTTCATATCACCTACTTTAGAAATAAGGCATTACTTAGGGTCGACCTGGAACAGTACCGTCTATTTTCTGTATTTGAGTGACCGAATTCGGGGGAGTGGTGTGTTGGTTGTTACTTCAGCGTCTGGAGCATTTGTAGCCTCCTCCATTTCATCAGAGAGGGAGAAACAGTGGAACGCTTCAGGACAACTTTTTTGTTTGAGATGGAACAGTTTAGAGTCAACTTTTGGTAATGAAGTAACTGGCTCAGGTCTCTTTGTTTGAACAAAAGACGTAGCACCATCTGGAAAACATTGATGAATTTCTGGGCGGCACGTGGTGATTGGGAATGGCGTCTGTGGTGATTTGTTGAGAATGGCCGTTTTGTTGAATTGCTGGCTACAACTATCTTTGTATCCAATATTATTGAAGTTCTGGCACTGGTATTGACTTTATGGATACGATTTGATGAAATGCCTAACTATAGTCTTGAGGTAATTTCGCGTATTTGATGTTATTATTGTTGAATAGAACCAGATGGATCTTGCGATGAATAACTGTCTTTTTACTGTCTTTTGAGCGGTTTTTTTGGTGACTGTACGTGTCGCAAAGAAGTTTTGGTCAGTTGTACATTAGAATTTTAGAAATCGGTTCCCCACATTCAGAACACAACGAGTCATTTTTGGTCATTATATTTGGCGATATAACAGCTCAGCTGCCAGATGCCACTCCTAACCAAATCATCGTTTCACTGAAATCCTCACGGACAGATTACCGGCAATGTCTTAATTGTTCACAGTAGACAAGATATCCTACTATATAACTTTTATGTTATTTAATTAGACTTTCTACACAGATACATTTCTGTACAAAGGCTATACAATAGTGCTTTAACCGCATTTTTCTCCTTCTCGTTCCCAGTGGAATGTTCCACATAGGGCTTCAAGCTGGAGGCTTGAAGTTTCTGTAGCAGTGTTTTTAATTTTACAGGATGGGGTTGCTAGCCTCATGCCAACCTTTCCACTTTACCAGCACTATTTCTGGCTTAGCGAGGTAAAGGAGGGCGTCAGTCAGGGATCGAACCCTGAACCATGTGCATGGTCGACGGCATCCTAACCACTATACCACCGATGCCTAGATCGAACGTTAGTTAGTAACTAGTACCATAAGTCTAGTCGTTTGTTTGGTGAAGACTTAATTCTATCAGTGTTCAATCAAAGTATTTATTACGCTTCTACATTAGGTAAGTTGCTAGCCTGAATAACTGTCACTGACTGCATTCACAGGGTGACAAGGGTTCGCATCTCAGAAGGGACATGAATTCCATCAAGATTGCCAATACGCCCTGTTGACTGGTGAGTGACACTAAGCGCGAAACAAACCTACGTCAAACAAGGCTTCCTTCCGATCGCCTCTAACCATCTAATAACAAAAATTCCAAATTAGTCTCTCTATTTGTACCCGTTTACATTTCCTTCAATCATTAGTCCTTTCAGTGATACAGACCTTAAGACACACACTGTAACATTATATCAGCACGAAAATTACAACTTTCGAGTACTTACTCAGACAATAAATCCAGTAGTTCATCTCGCTTTTGTAATAATCTTTCTCCTTGTTCCGATTCTAGGATGCTAAAATAAAAAGACGATTATTTCTCTAAAATTTTTGTCAACAGTCTTCAGAAATGTAATGACTAGATAAAGACGGGTTATTCAGTAAATATCGTTTCCGAAGTATTTATTTTAAAAGTTTATGCAATTGCGACTCAATTGATTTTTTAAACACCATCTTTTAAAAGGTTAACAGAGATACATATTTGTGAAGTGTTGGTTCTCAGGGACATGATTGGTAACAGGTTCGAACATGAGTTGATATCAGCTATAGAACCATTGGAAAACCTGAGAGCACTACTGGACAGCTGTTTCGTCCTAGTTTTGGGCTCTTCATAAGCACGCATCCACAACACAGGTTCTAACACAGGACATCCCGATTACAAGGCAGGTACGTAGACCAATCAGGCAGTGGACCTCGATCCATTGGCCAGCCCCTTAATTCCAACTTCTGCTAATTCACAATAGATAATATTAAGCAGCCACCAGCCTTTATCATAGGCGAATAACTATTCTCTTATCTGACTTGGAGGGACCCGCTGGTTACAACTTCTGTCTAGAAGTGCTGGTAACTACTTCCTGTATACAGGCAAGTGCTACTGAGCATAAAATTAGTGTCTGGATCGATATTTTTTTAATCATTCGTGTATTAGTTGTATTCTCTCACTTGCAGAGTTCACAGCTGAGTAGCTTTCACTGACTGACACTTACTAGACATCATTTTCAGCTCAGACTTCAGTATGAAGTAGACTTTTATAATTTTCTCATCTTTAGTACTGAGAAAAGTACAAGCTTTACTTACCTCAGAAAGTTAAGCCAACAAATAACCATTCATGTTGGTTGCATAAAGTCAAGCTTACAGGTCATCCAATCAGATTGTGATAAAAATATTCTGCCTTAGTCCAATGGTTTAATTTGTCCAGACTGGTTTAAACTGGTTTTAAGTGATTGTAGTCGCTTCCATTTTATATCATGAAGTCAGTGACAGTCAGTCTGCATATCAGTGAAATGTGCTAACTCCCTGATCTTAAAACTCCATTAATTATTATCATTATTATTATGAGTGAATGATCACTGACCAACGATGACGCCTTTAGTTATCTAACCGAAATTCCTCAACCTGTGATTCTAACCATTCAGAAGGTGGGAGCCAAACAAATGATACTTATATATATATATATATATATATATATATATATATATATATATATATAGTTACTGTCTAACAGGTATTCTTTTAGTATAACATTGGCTGAAATGTCACTGAAAATCCTTTAATAGTCAATTTCGTTCTTCTGGTTGATTTTTATTGTTCCCTTGGGTTCCTAGTGGAACATAGGTCTTCAGCTCCACGTCTCCACTTGCTTCTGTCTTCTTTCTGGTGTACTTTTCACCTCCATCCATGTTAGTGTATACTCTTTCAACTCCTCTCTCTTCACACGATCTCCTCCATGTCACCCTTCCACTGACGTCCCACTCGCCGCGTGCTTCCCTTTCGGCCTGGTTCCACTCGAGCAATGGCCTGACGCGCGCGCGATGTCACCCAGCGGCGGCCTCGTCACCTCAGCGAGTGTCCAATCCACCTCCGCTTTCTCCTGCATATTTGTTGGTTGGCGATTGGTCCTTGTTTTGTTTGTTTGTTCCCATAGTTTCCCACTGTTGGTGATTCTTTCCTGCCCGGCCATCTGATCTCCAGCGAAGACAGTTAGTTGTTGATAAAGGTCTGCAACAGGCTGTTGGAAATATTCTTTGTGAACCGCCGGTCAAGTTTCTGATCCGTATAGAATAACTGACTGACTTTACGTTTGTATTGAAAATCCGACCGGATTTTGTTGTTGATGCTGAGTGACGAAGATTTCCAGATTGGTTTCAGGTTGATGAATGTGTTTCTCGCCTTCCCGATTCTTGCTCGATTTGACATCCTCGTTCGTTCCGACTGCCTGTAGTTGAGACAATGCTTCCTAGATAAGTGAATGAAGTAACCTCTTTCAGATCCCTCACGTTGATGGTGATTGGCGATAGAAGTTGCTGTTGTTTTTGTTGTTGGTTGGTTGGTTATTTTCATAACCTCCGTCTTGTCTATGTTCACTTGGAGTCCTGTCTTCGCAGGCTGCTTCTTCGACCAGTTTGTCGGTTTTCGCTTGTACGTCTTCGATTTTGTGTGACATCAAACATAAATCATCCACGTGCGAAATCCAGGTCTTCTAGGTTCTTCACGTCGGTCCAGGATATTCCTGTTTGCTCGTTTCCAACTGTCTGATGCACAATCCAGTCCACCACAATTAGGAATCTCATTGGTGATAATAAGAACTCTTGTCTGACTCTTGTGTTTACTCCAAACGCCTCTCTGAGTCTTCCGTTGTGGATCACTTGACATGTGCCGTTGTCGTACAGCTGTTGAATAAGGTTGATGAATATTTGGGATACGTCGTAGTACTCGAGTAATTTCCAAATTACTTCATGGTCAACGCTGTCGAAGGCCTTTTCAAAGTCTATAAAGTTGAGGTGGAGGCTTGACTGCTATTCCATGCTTTGTTCTATGATGATGCGTAGAGTTGCAATTTGGTCAGTACACGATTTGCCTTTCCTCAATGCAGCCAGGTTGCCCTGGTCGGAGTTCTGTATCCAGTGCGTCATTTATTCTCTCCAGGATGATGCAACTCAGGTTTTTGTTGACGTCGACAGGAGCACGATTACTCGCCAGTTCTTGCAGAGTCTTAAGTCGCCCTTCTTTGGTAGTTTCACGAGTGGACCTTTCCTCTAGTCAATAGGCACGTTTCCCTTCTTCCAGACCTTTTGCAATCTCGTTGATTGGCTGAACCGAAATATTTAGCCTCTGTTGATATGTCTGTTCGTTCCACCTACGGAGGCTTCGACGATGTTTGAGGATTCACATGAAATTATTTAGTGCATATTGACTAGCAATGGAATCGAATGATGCGCATTTCGTCATATTTGGGACTCGTCGTTTGGATATATCTACAATCCCCAGTGAATGACCCAAACGCTCTAGCGGATAACACCCTTCGACGTTTGAGAAGATTGGTTCTCGGTTCAAGTGTCACAGGGGAATACCATCTTCACTCACTATGAATGCATGTACATCCAGCTAGTTGACGAGTAGTCCCAAATAAGAACCTTGGATTCCATAGCTAGTTAACATTCACTGAATAACATTAATTATTTTCTATATCGTCCAATACTGACTGAGTGTATTACAGGTACCTTGGATGAGTTTGAACACTCTGTTCGGTGACTCTAAAGAATAGGAACCCAAACCGAAACCACCTACGAACGTGAAAACGACCTTGTCAAGGACAACTTCGACCAATCGGAAGGCTCAAAAAGCGACCCATAATTGTCAAAAATCGTTTATATAAAAGTAATGCAATGTTAAAAAACAGTTACTATGGATAACGTTCTCGTATATGCTGCAAAAAATGCTCCCGATTTCTCATAGGTGTCTTCATAATGATGTTAAACCAAGTTCTATACATAAATTCATCAAGATAACTGTATATCATTGGATTTCTAGATCCATTCACCAATCTAATCCGTTTTTTAGGCGACTCCAGAAACTTTCGATCGAATTAGTATGAGTTCCATCCAAAGGATTACGAAAACCGTTTGTGTGGTTGACTACATGATGAATATACTCGAGATTCGACGATTGACCGTAACTGCTCCATTCGTCTGTGTGAATAGTGGTCCCAGGTAGCAATAAGCGCTGGATAATAGGCGATAATACAGCAGCACTGCCAATTTACAACGCAAAAGGTGTAGAGCATCCATAATTACTTCTAGAAACAACAAAGTCGCCTGATTGGTTTCTCAAGGTCATTTGTGCGTTCGTAGGTCGTTTCGATTCGGGTTCCTATTCTTTAGAGTCACCCTGTTCGATGTGTGGGTTAGTGAATTTAATCGTTTTACTATTTACATCGACAGACATAGTAGACATCGGGTATTATTCCTCTATATAGTAATGATGTCATTATATATGTAAATACACAGTTATCACTATGGAATAATAATAATAATAAAATTCAAAGACTAACGGATATTCCATTAGTTCTATTGGATCCATAATAGAATTTATACGTCTCAACAGGAGAGTAGACCAAGATATAGCTCCAGCAGCTGGAGGGAATGCTTTCGATAGAGAATGTTTCAACAATTTTGGATTATCAACATTTCGATCTAATATCTGTTTACATCGATCCAATTCATTGTGTAAACTTTCGAGTAATTTATGATAACACGGTTCAATGATTGGTTTAATTCTTGGCCTTTCTAAAAGTGTTCCAAACATTTGAATAGTCTAGAAAGGATAAATTAAGATAAGCTAAGATGCAGCAGAAAAACAAAGTTAATGGTTAGTAAATACAACGAAATCTTTATGAATGATTTGTAAGTATTGGTTTTGTAGGGATTTTTGTTTGATTGCATGGGGGATTCCATCATGAGCTGACATCAGTTAGAGAACCACTGGAAAACCTAGGAGCACTGGACAGCTGTTTCGTCCTAGTCTGGGACTCTGCTGCAGTACGCACCCACCGGGGTTCGAACCCAAGACCCCCCGTTTCCAAGGCGAGCTCGTAGACCATTGAGCCACTAGGAACGGATCGAGTTGTCCTTGAATTCTAACTTCTGCCAATTCATGACATAGCGTGACTACTTTGTAATGTCTTTTTTGATGAGTTACTGCCTCATCCTCAACATGCTGTACCCTACTGGTTACGGCTTCCCACTAGAATCCCAGGTTAACTGCCTGAATAGGGCCAGTCACTAGTGAGCACATCAGATTAATTTTCAAGTATTGGTTTTGTAGGGATTTTGTCTGATTGCATGGTGAATGAATGAATGAATTGAAAGCATCTATGATATTTAATTTTCGTTTGGACCTTTATCTCTGTCTCAGTTTTAGCCCATCTTGTAGATAGTGAGCATAAAACGGAGGGTAATAAAGAACTTGAACACTTACTTATCCCGTAATTACTCTTCATTTTTCAAAAATTATGTATTATGTAATCCACTTGTTATAGACATTTCTACCTTCTAACTGTTTGTATATGAATCCATTTGTTCCCTTTATGAATCTCGACTAAACAATAAGAAGACGTAATTTTTCTGAATAGTGGGGTGTGTTTGCGGCGCAAGACATTTCGAACAATTTGGCCACACTCCACGTACTTGTCATTGGAATGTAATATATGACAGGCATCAAGCGTTAGTTGAATGGTAAGCGAATAGACGTTGATCGTCAAGTTATAAAGGCTCCAATATTGAAGGTCAATTTAATATTCGAGAGGGAGGTAATAGTACATCTGCCGTGGTATGTATCAAAATAAAGTTCACTAAGGAAGGTGGTACAGTGTCATGAAGAATTGTTTCTTTGAACACACAAAGGTGGTTTAAATTTCCTAATTGATAGGGCTTCAACAAACTTTAGGGCACGTCTCAAACACGTTTTATAGATAGGTTGAATAAAGGAGGTGTAAACATAAATTTTATGTCCTGTTTGTATAATAAGTTTTGCAATAGGACAGCTAGGTCATCTACTCGCATCAGTAATGAATTCAGGGGAAACCATTTGCTTCTGAAGCCATTTAGGAACGTGCTCTGAAGTCCTTACGTCCAAACATCAACGAGTCCTCCCTGTGTATGTGTATGACTATAGGTACATTTAAATTGGTAGATAGAGTGGTAACTGACAACATTTTTCGTATGTTCTAAGTGCTCACATGGATATATACGAGTATTGTGTGAAGAGACAAATATCAGAAAGAACTTTTACAACTTTTGAATCAGTAACTAAACTATAAATGTAATGATGCATATTAATGCAAGTGTTATTTGTTATATTATTTATTTATTATTCACTATGACCTAGAAATGGTATGATTTTGTTGGGTTTTTTATTTATATTTATTTTTATTATTTTTTCCTATTAACTATCAATATTTTAACATTTTATATATTTATATAATTATAAACAGAGCTAAACCATTGCAATATGTAAAAGAAACGCTGAAAATTCCATGCTGTAAATTGTTATTGTTGTGGAATAAAGTGATTATTATTATTATTATTATTATTAATTTTCACATTCACCTATATACAGTAGCTTGATATAAATGTCTTTCACAGTGGCGAGTTGGAGAATGGGTCTTGGTGTTCTACTGACCACTTCAGACCTCCTAATGAACTTCTCTGGATAATTATTATCAACCGGGGTTTGTGTCAGTTTTCTCTCTTCATCTTTAAGTGTGTCTTCTATGCATATTCGTTGGATTCTACTGACACAGGCATCTCACCAAGGGCCTTTCGCGCCGTATAGATGAAAAACTGTGATAATTAAGATATTGTCCTATCTAGGTAGGTATTCCGTAAACAGATAGTTTTATTGATCCATGAGGCTGTCTGTCGATCAACCAATATATGTAGGACAGATAATCAATTATCTTCCTCTCCTACAAACGTAACTGACATGTTATTTTCAATTTCAATCATTCGATTTAAAATTGAAGTGGCAGAACAAGGCTTATCACTGTTCATCAGAATGTCATCGACATATCTTCTAGGAACTGGTACATTTTCAATTAGATCTTCCGATAAACTTTCAATGCTCAACATATAGATTTCTGCTAAATTTATCGTGAACGAGCTTTCCTTAGAAACACCATCAACCTGACAGGAGCAGTCACCTTCAAATTTAAGCCTAACATTTCTGGTACATAGAAGTAATGAACGCTCTAAATAAAATATAGGGAACGGGACCAGCAAATTATGTGTGGTGAAACGTAATCACACAAAATGTCAGTTGTTTTGAGTAGAGGGACATTAGTGAATATGGAGTCCATCCACATCAAAAGAATACAAGTTTTTATTTACAATATTGATATCATCAAGGTAACTGACCAGTATTCAAAGATACATTTAAACTGATACTGGAAATAATTCTGTGAAATATGTGGGATTAATAAGCGATGAGTGTTTGATACCTCTGGGATAACATTTAATCTCCTAATTACTGTCATACTACTGATTGGTAGTAAGTAGTATGAAATACACAGCGAATAAAGTGGAAGCATTTACTACAATTTACTACCCAATGGGCAGTTGAAACATTCACCAGTACTACGAGCACTTCATATATACCCTCTCTTAACTTCTTGAATTCATCACAAAGTAAGTTCGCTGGTGTGAACGGGTTTATATCGAATACAGTAATCATCCTGTGGTCATATTATACATGATTTGCCTCAAACCGTTGTGTAATGCTTGGTGTGGTAGTGATGGTGTTATGCAGTTGAGGTGGATGGATGTTGGTAATGACCTTAATGTTATTGTGTTTTAGTTTTGAACCTGTGTCACTGGAAATTTTTAACCCAACTGACGAAATGGCTACGGAAAATACCACGAACCATGTGCGTGACTATCTTTCGCTGTGCGGGGACACCGGATGATGTCACGGCTGATTAATCTTGGGTGTGTTTCTTAACACAGGCCAAAGCCTATGTCCTTATCACCACACCCACATCGTGTCAGGGGTCACACATTTTCTAATAACATTGTAATATGATGAAATATATTTGCTGTTACTTTCTGCTGCTGGTTTCTCTGAATTCATCTTGAAACTCCAAGATGTCGACGTTGTACTTGAATTACATTTTCAATCTCACAAAGTTTTAAGGAACAATGAAAACATTAGAATCAGCAGGCCTGATGAAGGAGCCACAGCAGTACTGATGAATAAGTGTGAGTACGTTTACAAAACCAACTCGCTTCTAACCGATGAATTGAAATTCCAGGAGCTTAACAGCTCTACAGATCTAGACAGAAGAGTAGCTGAATAGCAGCCAATCAACACGCTTAAAGATCTGAGGAAAATTGGAGTAATCTCAGTTTACAACCATCCTTATCCTACTGGAAGTAATACTTCACGACTGTATGGTTTGCCAGAAGTATATAAAACAGGAACTCCTCTTCGACCAGTCCAAGACACTTCTAAGAGGGCTACATGAACTCCCCCAACCGTTGCAGAAGAATGAGGTTAATCAAAGTGATAAAGACGTCTTTGAATTCATGATGTCAACATAAATGGGAAGCAAACGCCAATGTACCGCTTATGAAGACTGTGGAATAGATAAGCCAACAATTATCAGGAAAGCAGTTTGATATCTCAAGGAGCTGCTTGCAATAAGACGCGCTGTAAATGTAAACTTCACATTCAACAATCACATTTGTTACCGACAAATCGACAGCATTGCCATGGGTTATCCATTAAGCCCAGATTAGGTAGATTTCTTTCTTGCTAAGCTTGAAAATAGTCCATTGAAACAAGTAATAGATAAAACGGATTCTTATTTTCGTTATGTTGTTGATACGTTTATTATTCTTGATGAGAACGCTGACAAGAATGAAATGTTAAAAAAGTTTAATGATGCACAACCATCGCTCATGTTCACTTGTGAAGAAGAACATGATGGTAGACTACACTTCCTTGATGTTCATTTGAGCAGAAAAGAGAACAGATGGTTCACTCAAGTTATATGTGTGTGGGAAACCTACATCTGTAGGTCAGTATACACATTCCTTCAAGTTTGTACCAATCCGATAAAAAGTCAGTTTGGTCAGATACCTGACGAATAGAGTAAGTAGGATCTGTACAGATGACTCCCTAGAAAATGAATCAGGAAACACATCAAACACTCTGATCCAAATGGGTTACCCTAGAAGATTTGTGTGGAGACATATGAACACCAGGTATAATTAGGAGAAAATGACAACAGTTAAAAAGAAACAACTGCAATTCATTGGAGATGTGGGTAGGATTGTCTATAGGCATAAAACGGACTTATACTACCACCACCCTTTATCTATCATTTTTCAGCCAACCAATTATGATTGTTCAAGTGAAAGACAAACTGTCTAGCTGTGTCTCTCCTATGTGTATTTACAAATTTAGCTGCTCTTGCAGAAAAAGCTACATAGGGTGAACAACTAAACAGCTTAACAAACGCATTAGTGAGCATCTTCCTCTACAGCTCGGAGAAGGCCAAGTAAAATCTATAAGAAGTTGCATTTTGTCTCATTTGATTGATGAAAGCGGTCACCAAGTGGACAGTAGAAGAAGAAGTGCTTTCAGTGTTATTCTATCGTATTCCATCGAACCTTTGGAAGGGAATTGGAAACCGCTTTTTACCTATAGCGGGAGATTTAGGAATAAATTCTAGAGAACAATTCTAGTCTTTCTACACAATAAAAGAAGTTTGTTCTGCTATCTGTCTTTCCCCCTGGCCAGGGTAA